ATAAATCTAATGATCCTTGGACCTGGTTGCAAAAGAGCACTTTTGTGACACCTTTTTCTATGTGTCTAGAGGATTTTGAACATTGGGATGGAGTGTCTTTTGTCTAGGTTTACTCATGCTAAGTAAATTGCAAGTGTGTTTGCTTTACAAGCACCTCTCTGATAGCTCTGGGTTTGGGAGGAAGTTTCTTGTGTGGAACTCCTTTGACCATTTGCTATTTGTGAATTCAGTTTAAAATGTGTTTTCAGACTGCAGTGCCTTGGTATTGCTTATGGAGCATCTAACAATTCTGAGAACATTATGTTGTGTTTAATCTAATTGACAAGGTTTTTTTTGTTCTCTCCTATTCAAATTTATGTTTAGAACAGATTGAAAATACTTGAGCTGGTTTTTTAGCAAGTGTGAACATTCACAATCGATGTTAAAGCTCAGCAGTGTCTCTCACACAGCCCCTGTGCAAGGTGTGCCCCCAGGGAGCTGCACAGGCTTTGGGGTGCTGGGATTGGGCTGCCAGCCCTTGGCAAACGTGGACAGGGTGGTGGAGAGAAGGCTCTGAGTCCGTGGCTTGTGGTTGAAATACAGCAAACAGGCAGTTGTAAGGAATGATTCTCACATGATTCCTGGATGGAATAAGACTTCTAATTTTGTCTTTACATATTTAGACATAAATACAGGTTTGCAGGTGATGAGTACGTGGGACTGTTCTTTTTCTAGCCCTTTCCACTGCCTACAGAACTTGATCTTTGTTAACCATGGAGTTATGCTGTGTCACTGTCAGGCCACAATGGTGTGGAGAGAACTTGCTCACTAACTGTTGAGTTTCTCTTGATCTGTCAAAGGTGCTCCAAGCTGAGTGGTGCTAGCACAGGACGTGTGGAGTCTGGAGTGTTTTGGCACACCTACTGCTGTAAATGACATTGAAATTACAAACAAGATTTCTACCAGTTTGGAACGAGATTTCATTTTTAAATGAAAGTGACAGAAAAGTAGGAGACCCCAGCAACTGAGTGAAGATTACAGGTCTCCAGAAATTCCTAGGTAGACTAGGCTGAAGGAGATGATTATAGACATGTTATGCCAGGTATTTTTCATAAATACTTGAAATCAGCATAGGTGTGATGGGTTCATCCAGCCATTGTCACCAATGCATGTTTTGTCACTTGTGAATGCCTAATTGCACTGATCAACTGCACTAATGGTACTCCTTTGAATTTCTGCCATCCTTTGTGGAGAAATTTAATTTCAAGATCAGAGTTTAAAACTGAAGGATATTTATTTACATTGAGATTGAAACCAGACATGAAGATAGGAAGTGTTTCTTGGGTCCAAGGTGAATTTGTTGTGAGTTAAAGCTCTTAAGTTAGCAACTGCTGGGGATGCTTTTTGTGTGGTCTTCAAGGTCAGTAGTTTGCATTCCAGCAGGTGCTTCCAAGATAGAATCATGTGAAGATGAAGAAGGAAATATTTTCTTTCAAAACTGGAAAAGCTGCTCTATCGATTCTTTGGTTTCACAGTGTCTTTGAAAAAGCTTCAAAAATGCAGGGAACGTTTTATTTCTGATTATAAAAGATGGATCTGTACATTGTAAGATGTGCTTTAGAAATAAAAACTGGAAAAGAAATAAGATGAAATATTATGATAGAGATGAAGAATGTTGGGCTTTTCGTCTTTGCTCCTTTTCTGTAATACAGTATTTGACTAATTGTGGGTTTCCTTAAACTATTTTGCTCCGACTCAGAAGATATTCTTGTTTCATTGATGTCCTATTTCCAGCTACATACTCAATGCTGGAGCTTTACCTGAAGCTTTTAAGTTTAACATTTGTTCTCTCTGCTCTAAGTCTCAATTTAATGTTTTTATATCTCATCTTTGTGATCTTTAAATTCAGCTGAGCACGGAGTGTAGAAGAGGAAAATAAAAACCAAACAAACAAAAGCCAAACAAACCAGTCCAGTGTCCATAGGATGGATATCTCCATCTGAGAAACTTTTGTGAGGTGGATACAACATTAATTTGAGCTATGTCAGCTAAATAATGGCCTCTCATCTTGTTTTCTGGGTCTTTTTTTTCAAAACTATGCTGTAAATTTTCAATAAATTTTTCTCCTATCTTGAACTTTATTTTTTAACTGCTGGATTCTTAAATCTCTGTTACACAGAATTGAAAAGAAGTTGCAACTGAAAACATGATCCTGTAAGAGAAATTACGTAAATGGATGTTTGTCTTCTGGTTAAAGGAATTGAGGAAACTCTGACCTTCTAATGTGGAATATATGTCATAGTATTTTCAGTCTGCAGGGACAAAGGCATTGTGTTTGATGCATATTTGCATTTATTCATCCCTAGATCATACTGAATATTTCAATCAAGTCTTGAGCTTGTAATTTATCTACAACACCTTTGTGTATGAGGTGATGGCTTCATGTCTAATTCTGTGCCAGTTCTGTCCTTCCTGTCCTGTGGATTGGTTATTCCTCAAAGCTCCAAGGGTGTTTTCATCACTGTCCTGCCCTGCTGTGAACATCAACTGGCCACACTATCAAACTGAGTTATTGGCATAACAAGATAAATGTTTGCAGTATAAGTAGAATCAAACATTTTAAATTCTTCTCTGCTCCATAGCATAATTTTAAAATGAGAACATCCTTGTTCTTGTCCTTTTTTAAAACAGAGGAAGGTGATTCTTTGTCCTTGTGTGTTATTGAAAATTATCTAAAATCACTTCAGACTGAAACTTTTGTAGAAATGTGATTAAAATATTAGGGCTTAATTTAAATGTTATATTCAGAAAACGTCTGTCTCTGCAACTTAATTCAATTTTAGCAAATCCTTCAATATTCCCATGGTTTATAATTTGCAAATTGAACACTTCCATTTAAGTTTAGGAAAAAAACTGTAGTCCTACAGTATTTTAATCTGTTCATGCAAGCAAAGATTCAAGATAGTAACATGGTTTAATTGTTGTTGAGTGATGCATAAGGGAAACAAGCACCTTCAGGAGCTGGTGCTGATTTTCACATGGTCTGATTCAATAATTGCTTTGTTGATTTCTCTGTTCATTGGGAATTCCCTTTCCAATCTCTTTGGATGTGAACTTACTGGGTTTCTATGGCCTAGGCTACTTCACATCCTAATTTCTCTGTCCTGGAGAGGAGAGCTGCCATGAGGATTTGGGAGGGGTTTGGAGGTGGGGTAAAGTAATTCATGAGGCAGATGGGATGTAGGAAGCCTCTAAAAGTTTGGCTTTATCACTTGGAGATATTTGGGGAAGTCTGATATTTTCATCACTCCTCCTCCCCTTATAACCCTCCTTTCTATCTCCCAACTTCTTGATGAAATAAGGGAGGGACCCAGAAAATGCAGCTGCACAGATAGAGATGTGCACACAAAAATGCAGCTGCACAGATAGAGATGTGCACACACCCCCAAAGGGAAGCTCAGCTTCACACAAGCAGAGGCTGGCAGGCTGAGAAAACCTTTCTTATGGTGCTGGTAAAGTGTGACAGGACTTCTGGGCTGGGGCCAGTACTGCACTGGAGAATGAATAAATGGTTCAGTGACAGGCAAATGATCTGGTATTTGCATATTAACTCGAGATTTCATCAGGCAATTTTACCAAATCCACTTGCCTAAATAAGCTGGTTTGGATTTCTGCAAACCCAAGCAGTAGATGTGCCTGCAGCCCCTTGGTGCTCTCAGCACCTTTGTGGTTCATACAGAAATCTCTTCTGTAGCATGTTCATAAGCTGCATTTCTGGAACATCAGACCAGTAAAAATGTAATTTATTGTGGGATAGCTGAACAGCTGTCAGGGAGCCAGGCTGAGAGGGTGTTTGTGGCTGTAACCTGCACTATTTGATATGATATAATATAGAATCCAGTGGTGGAAATGATTCAAGTAATTCATGTACCAGATGAGGACCTCTCTGTATTTGTGTTCTCAGTGATCACTGTGGTTATCTCCAAAGAAATACCCAGCTCCTCAGAGCTGTACAGGCTAAGGGCCAAGTTGAAAAGGTGAATTTTTTTATTACACTGTGAGTTTTGATTCCATAGCCTGGAAGAGTGGCTTGCCTGAAATCTGCTGGGCTGAGGGTGCCGTGTCTGTGGCAAGCCAGGTGTGGTTGAGGTGAGGGTGTGGCAGCCCAGGCTCTCCATGCAGCAGTTCCTGCTGCTGCCCCTTGGCAGAACTTCCACTCCCTCTGTGCCCTCCCCAGCCCAGGCAGGAGCTGGCCTGGCCCCGGGAGGAAGGCAGGGCTGAAGGTCACAATGGCAACACACTGATTTCTCCTGGAGTAGATAATGGACAGGAAATTATTATTACTTTTTTTTCCCCACTCTATGCTCTGTGTGTCAGAACTCTAGATACAAATAGTCATTGCTTGTTTAAATATTAAAAGGTCATTATTTGACTAAAGGTTTTTGGAAATACATGGATTAAAGGTGCTTAAAGAACATTTTTTAAAACCTGTAATTAACTCAAATTTACCTAATTCTGTAAGCCTGGGATTTATTAGCCATTGTGTTAATCAACTCTCCAGTGTTGTTTTTTGTGTTAAGTACAGATTAAGATATTACATGTGGACTCATGACTCTTAAAGTCTTGCTGACAGTGCAAGAGTTTAAAACTAGTTCAGAAAATTAAATAAGTTTTTATGGTGGACTTGTAGTGGTGGATTGGTATTAAAGGTAATTTTTTTTTCCCCAACTGAACACAGGGATTGATTAAATTACTAAGAACTTTCTCTTCTCAGTATGTCAGTAAAATTTCGAATTCTCTCAATATTATGGGTCAAGAGGAAAATACATTAGCAAAGGCAATCTTCAAACAAAAGACACAAATTAGATTATTAGGTTAAGGATTTTAAATAGGTCTAGTTTATCTCATGTAATTTTTCACATTTAAAAAAGGAATACATTATTCACAGCTGATTATTTCGTGTAAACAGGGTTTCTGATTTTGCAGATACCAAGCTGACAGGCTTTTTCTCTCCTTGACAGATGGGGATGGACAAAGTGAACATTTATTACCAGTCTGTGAAGATGAAACGTGTCAGAGAAGTGCCATCTACCTAACCAAGCTGGGACTGGACCAGGTAGTGTGAATTTGGAATAGCAAAGACAAAGCAAAATACTGTGTGAAATTATGTGAAATAGATTTTTTTCAGAAAAGAAATGAAACCTTCACCTGTAATTATAGATACAAGAGACTTGTATTTATTTACTTGTGTGTTCACTTTCTGAAAAAATATGGGTTTAGTGGAAGAGGTTCCTAGAATTCTTTATAATGGCTAATTCTACTCAAGGAAATGATGGACACTCCTGAAGAGTCACTTTCTTGATTGCAAAACACTGTATTTGAGGCACCATAATTGTCCCAGCATGAAATTAAAAACAAGGTTTGTGCTAAGAGCTGGAAACAATTTTAATTCAAATGAGCTTGTTGAGTTTAACTTAGGCAGTTATTTTAGAGTAAAAATATGGATATACACACATACCTCTATCAGGCTGAACCAGCCCACGCCTCTTCCCCCTAATTTCTACTTTGTCTTTGTTTGTTATTAGTGAAATAAATTTCCAGATGATATAAAACACTTTTTTAGGCTGTGTGTCTTCAGGGCTGGGTTTCTGTTAAGCTGTTGGAGGTTAGTTTGTTCATGACACTGCTGGCTTTCAGAGACATGGTTATAATTCATGGAATAGATTATTATATGTTCGTTTATTTAAGTATGTGATCATTTGGTTTGAGTGTTTAGTGCCCTGATTTATAATAAAGTTGCAGCATACAGTAAATTAACCAGATGTTTGTTGGATGGCTTAATGAATGTTTTATTAAATTCATATTTAGCAATGTGAACCTAAAGGCCAAGGTGACATATAAAGTGCTTGTAGCTGACAGCAAAACCCACTCTAGGGTACTCAGAGAAAATTACAATGTGTGCTGTACATGTTGCTAACCACGTTATGAATTACTGATTATTCCCTCACTGAAAAATGTTGAATTTTGTGCCTAAAGTAGTTCCCTCTCTGATCTATAATTCAGAAATTATAGTGGAACTTTTTACAGTCTGTAGTGGCAGAGGCAGGTGTGGGTCAGTGTGCATAATATCAGAATTTTTTCAAGATAGTCTGTTATTGTAACCTGCTCTGAAGTAACATTTCATGCAGCCAGTTTTATCTTGCTTCATAAGTTCATTTTTTTAGACAGGAGTAAGCTACTTAGTCACAAATATATCAGATATTTAACCTATATTTAATTTTTTACTCAGTTTAGCAATTTCACTGTGTAGTTTCAATTTGAAAATAATTTCCAAGGTAATGACTTTTGAGATAAAAATTAGCAGTTAAATATTGCAAGGAATTCAAGAGATTCTCACCCTGCTAGAAAAAAAGTATTAAAAACTATTTGGGCTTACCTAGAAAGTTTAAAGCAATTTTTCCTCCCTATTTTTAGAATGACTATAATTAAAAATGACAGTATCAAATGGCATGCAGTAATGACTTGTTCTGGTCTAACCTTTTAAAGAATTCTATCTAGAATACTCTTTTCTGGCACTCATCTGGTAATGATGGAGCTTTTTTCTTTTGAAACTTCTTCCTGTTCTGAAACAGTGAAAAGTATCAGTCTTCATATCTATCTGCAGCTTTTCCCATGTGTTGCATGCTTCCTTCAGGTAGGAATCTATTCAGATATGTCAATTCTTGTATTTATTTGGAAGTAAAATGTTTCATTTCACTGAATTTGGTCATTGTGAGGTCAGATGACAAGCTTTGATTAAATAGGTTACTCTTCATGAGAAATGATAAACCTTTTGGCAGCAGACTGGAATAGATTCTGTTTACTAATCACTTTACAATTTGAGGTAAATAATAAGGAGCCTTTGCAGTGCAGGATGTGTTTCTACAAGGGGATGGTATCTCTTGTGGAACGGGTAGGTGATTATAGGGAATCTGGGAAATTGAGAAATTGCAAGTCTGTTATTGAAAAAGTACAAAACTCTGTATATCTTTTTTTCAGTTTTTGCTGTAGAGTTTTGTGGCTTTTTTTTTTTTTTGGTTAAGGGTGTAGCAACAAATTCTTGTTTTCAGAATTTAATTCTTTTTTAAAGAAACTGCTCTCAAATCTAAAAGATCTCAAATAAGATGAGTCTTATAAAAAACACTTTGCCTACTGGGTCTTGTTCTCTTTCCTGCTTGTTTGCTGTAGCATTTGATAAAACCAAATGAGAAACAGTTACTGCAGTTCCATGATAGCATGTGATGCTCTGGGATGAAATGCATAAGTCAGAAATGCACATCTGTACAATTAGTGGCTCTAAAAGCTGCACTGAGCAGAGGCAGGCAATGGCATGTCAGGCTTTGGAGTTGTTGCAGTCAGATCCTGTTTGTCAGGATATTTCTCATGATGTCTTTGGCCCAATTGGATGGCTACTGGAAAGCCAAGAGAATTATTTCAAGGAGAACCTTTCATCACAGGTTTTAATTTAGGTGATGCTGGTTGGGGGGACGTTAAGTGTTAGAAATATTTCAGATTTTTTTCTTTCAGATGGTGGAGCAGAAGTAAAGGCCAACAAAATACACGAGTGGCTTAAGGAGAGACAGACCTCCTAAGGTTTTAAAGGAATGTGAATGTTTCCATAGCAACAGCAGAATTGCTGTCAGATCCAAGTGGAATCCTATGTGCTGTTTCAGACTGTGGCAGGTGTTAGGACACCTCAGACTTCTTTAAATTCACCTGCAATAGCTACAGTCTAATCTGGGAAATGTTTTAAAGTCCTTGGTAGTGTTTAATGTAGGAGCTCTAGATACTGTGATATTCTTAGAGATGACTAATTCTTCTTTAATTTTGCCAAGTATTCGGTATAATTTTTCATTTGTTTCCTGAGGCAACCACTATTATTTCAGACCCTTTATCTGAGAGTTTCTTTGTGGGCTTGATGATTCTTTTGATGAACCTTTTTCTGTGCAATAGAAAGGTTAGAGCTTTATTCCTCTTGGAAATCAAGCAGGTCTGTAGTAGAGTACGAGTTGTTCACAGCAAAGCCCAGGTCTTCACGGTGTCATTCTCTAGGCTAGAGAGGGAGGTGACAGCATCAATCATCAGCTGCAGTCAGTCAGTGTCAGAAGTTTTTCCTCATTCCTGTGTAACAGTTTAAAGGGGGAAATGGATGAAGCTGCTGTAGTTTTCATAAACGTCATATTCTACAAGATCCTCTCATCATTTCTAAGTTGCTTCTCTTCTGAAAGCTGTAGGGCTGTGAGAGTTGAAAACGTGAATTTTACTACTGTGGTTACTTTTTTCTGTGATTCTAAACCATTGCTGTGGATTGTCATGTTCTGGGTTTTGAACACCAGAAGTGAATGGTGTGAAGCACAGTCATTTCCTCAGCTGTTGAAGGGATTCAGGTGACCCTTGCATGCACCTAATAAATGCTGAAATCCTGGAGTGATTTGTCGTGTGCAGCTGAACTGCAGCACACTGAGAGGGAGCCCTGGGGAAAGGACTTGTGTTACTTCTGCTGCTGTGACAGCTCCTTCAGGCCACTCCTGCTGCTCATCTTTGGCATTCCCAGAAGATGGATTGGCCAGGAATGGGCTACTGATTTCCCAGCTTTGTGACTCAAGCTGCCTCCCTGCCTGTGTTGTGTGGCCTGGAAGCAGCAGCTGGCTGGGGGTGGGTTTTGTGCTTCCTGAGTTTCTAGCCATAATTGTAAAATGGAGATGTGTTAATCCCACAGGGTGGGCTCAAAGACCTGCTCACAGGCTTTGAGCAAGAGAATTGCCTTCCCTAATGTCTGGAAGAATGTGGACTTTGTAAGAAACCAGCCCTTTACAGTGACTGCAAGGAGCTTTACATTTTTCTCAAATCCCCACATCCTTTTCAAAATGAAAATGATGCTGTCTTCACAGGGCAGGAAAGCATTCTCTTTTCTACTTCTTGAAAAAACAAATATTTGAAGAGTTTAAAAACTAATTTTCAAGCACTTAAATATTTTTCCTTTTTAAGCCTAAAAACCATTAAATGAAGGATCCAAAATATCTATATAAATGTTTTAAGTGATGTCAGTAGTGATGCTGTGCAGAGGAATTTAACAGAAAAGGAAGAAGTGAATCTGAGTTCTCTGACTGAATTTTATGTGTTCATTTAAGATTTCTTTTAAAAATACACATACTCAATTTTTCAAACTTTTCTCATCTGAGCTGTGTAGGAGAAATCATATGATCAGAAAACTGGAAAAAATAGCTTCATGTGTCCTCATTATACCCACCTATTTCTATCTTAGAATTTAAAAATTAGTTTTAGTCTTTTCCTATTAACATAGTAACAGCAAACATGAAGCTTAAAGTAATTGTCTGGATTATTAGATACAAAATAAGCAGGAGATTTATATTGTTGACAAACATATTTTCATGTTTCTGCCTTTTGTACTGAACTCTATGTCCTGAGGCACAAGAACAATTAATCTTGCACTACATTACACCACAGTGCAGTTTGTAGTAGAAATCTACAGAAGGAGTTTTGCCAAAAGCGTGGATTACTCTGAATTTCAACTGTCAGTGTAAGTTACAGCTGGTGCTGGGGTGGGATCTGGTTGTGCATCAAACAAGGCTGATGTTCCTGCATGTTGCACAGCTGCTCTTGGGAAAAGTCCCACACTGGTGGCATGGATGGCTTTGCTCTGTGGCATCAGTGGTGCTGATGCTTGGTAGCAATAGGTGATGTTGTGCTCATTTGTAGTTTTGTATTTCATTGTAGACCTTAGGAATATGAAATTGCCTTCTATGAATCACTCTGGACAGAGTAATAGATAAACAAATTTGTATTTGTGCCTAAAAATTCATTTTTAATTTTGTCTCTCTAAGATAGTGTTACCATACCTGGGAACATTTAGAAAGTATATGATGGATATAATTGGATTTTACTGCAATGACTGTGTGAACAATACCATGTAAAGTAAAAGCTATATTATATTTCATGGTTTTGATTTCAATCACTGTTTTTCAAAATTAGACTATTTTGCAATAATATTGTTTCATCTGTCTTCTGCATGACAAGTAAGGGCTAAGAAATCCAAGCCTTTGAAAAATTTCCCTCAGAGTAGGAGTATCTTCCTTGTTTTCTGTTTCTTAGATTTTTCCAAACCTTCAGCAACTAAGAGTAACTAATTGGACACGTGCATATCGTGGGGTGTGAGGGTGCAGGTGTGTTTGATGTCAGGTTGGAGTTGCAGGGGGTGTTGCAGGTGAGGGTTCAGTTCAGAGCCATGGCACACACTGGGTGTGAGCAGGGATGGGCACGACTGCCCCAGGCTTCTCAGCCATCCTGGATCCACACAGCACCGACCTCAGTGCACTCCTGCAGGCACTCTGGGGGCTTCTCTAGGCTTCCTGAGGTTGCTTGTAATCCCAAAAGAGCAGTCAAGTGTCCCACACAACATTACCATGTGGCAGGAATGTTGTTGGTCACTGGATTGCCTAGCAAGGGAATCTTTGCATGCAGGATGTGATACTGTCATGGGTCTCCTTCTGGTTCCTGAAACAGCTAAAGGAAGGCTTGGGTGAGGGACACATAAGATCTGTTAAGTGCTTTTCATGTTAGTGATAGCAGTCCTTTAAGATGGCACCCCTTTGTCCTTTTGAAGGCATTGTCAGTTAGTTGACATAGGAAATTACTTCTGACTTTAAAAATGACACTGATTTATTTTTTTCTGTAGCTTTGAGATGTTAACCCTGGCACTTCAGCTTCATACTAACTTGTAAAATTACCTTGATTTTAATTAAGATAAATTTCTATATAGCACCTCTGCAGTACTTTGGAAAGTAAGTGCAGACACATTGTTTCCTGTCCTGGAGAAATTATACTTTGCATTTCTTTTGTAGTTTCAGTTGGATACTTTAATCTTAATTTCTTATCAAACAGTTCAGTATCTGATGCTTCTGGGGATATAGGAGGGGAATTGAAGCTCTTGAACTTCTAAATATCCATGAATAATAAAATTGTTCAAGCTGAAATGAACCTTAGGAGATCCAGCCTCCTGCTTTAAGCAGGAGCAAACTGAATTCAGACCATGTTGTTTAGAGCTTTGTCTGGTTGGACTCTGAAACCCCCCAAGGACAAAGATCCTGCAGCTTCTCAGGGCCTCGTTTGTAGTTTCATTTAGTTGTTGATCTCTAGTCAGAACCTCCCTCGTGTCAGTCTGACCATTTTCTCTTGCTCTTCTGCCGTGTATCACAGGAGAGAGCCTGGCTCCATCTCCTCAGCCGGCTCCTTGCAAGATCCTGCCTAAATCTTCTGTTCTCAGAACAATCCCTGTGCCCTCAGCTCGTCCTCCAAGGAAATACTCAGTACCTGACCTCTTGTTGACCCTCTCTGAACACACTCAGTGTTGTCAAATCCTTTGTGAGCTGTGAGGCACAAAACTGGACACAGAATCCAGAGGCAGATGAACAAGTGCTGTACAAAAAGAAGCCCTGGCTCATCCTGAGCAGGAGCACAGGCAGCAGCTCCAGAGCAGAGCTGGTTTGCTGCCCAAGCTGCTGTGCCCAGCTCACCAGGACCCTCCCCTCCCCTAGGAGAGCTGGTACCCAGCTGGACACTGCCCAGCCTGTGCCAGTGCAGGGCTTTATCCCCAGTGCAGGGGGTCTGTAGCTGAGTGCCTGTTTGCCCATTCTTGCCTTTCCAGGGCCCCTCTGAATGGCCATCCTGTCCTGCAGCATACTGACAGTATCCAGCAATTTGGTGTTGGCCACGAGTCTAAAAAGGCTGCATCTATCCTCCAGCTTTAGTGATGCTTGTTGCATTGCCTTGCAATTCCAGGGAAAAAAAAACGAGACTCAGGATCTCATGGCCCTGATGGTTTGGGCTTACCTACACTTAAAGATTAGTATAAATTCCAGGCAAGACTGAATTTCAATTAATGTGTTCCTGAATGTCTCCATATTCTGGTTGTAGTCTTACAACCTTAACTATATTTTCCTGTTCTGGAATAACTGAATGCATAAAAAATACTTCAAATTATTTTTTTTCTTTTGGTGACAGAGTTAGGAAATAATCCTTACTTGTAAATGGTTAAGAATCCTGATGAAGTGGTGTTAGCTGCTTTAAATAGAATTACATTGTTTAAATAAATAAAATTAATTTCTTTACCTAGTTGTTCTTTTTTTTGTTTGTTTTATTTTACAGTGGATTCCAGTCCTGCAAGACTTCAGAAATAAAGACACCGTCTGGGGCTTTGTACCATATCAAAATGACAAATCTTCAACAGAAATTTCATTTCCAATTACACTTCACATTGGAGATTACAATATGGATGGCTACCCAGATGCACTTGCTATACTGAAGAACACTTCTGGAAGGTAATGCAAACCTAGAAATAAAGCTATCAGATTCATGTTCAATCATCAGTCATAGAAATTACTAACTTTAGTGCATCTCATCCATTTTATCAAGTGAACAAGACTTTTGATCTCTGCTAAGTGTTTCCTTTTGAACCCAAGTGTGCCTTTTACATGCTCCATTCAGAATGCATAATTGTATAGGCTCAAACTGGGACTCTGGGTGGGGAATTGCATCAGGGACTGGAGTATGAGGCAGCATTTTAGGCACTCTTCCCAGAGCTCAGGGGCTGATTCTCTCCTTTCCCAAATGCTCTTCTGTAAATTCCTGACTTGAGCTGTCAGTGCTGAGTGCTTACACCAGGCTGCTGTGAGCTGGGGACCCTGTTCTGTGCTGTCACATGGAGCGAGCACTGGCTGGTGACTGCTGAAAAATGCAGTAGTGGTTTGCCCTTTTGGAGAACCAGGAATTCACCAGTGATTTTTACATTGTCCAAGAGAACTGAAAAGAAATAACACACACACCCAACCCCCTCAAAAAAAGAAACTTCTAACCCTTCTTATTAAATTTTTCAGTGTAATCTTCTCATCTTCCTTTTTCTAAAATTTTTCTTCATTGCTTGCTTTCCCAATACTTTGTACTGCTACCATCTGGTGCTAGGTGGGAGAGGGCATGTGGGGCTGCTCTCAGGGAGCCTGTAGTGCACAGAGGAGGCAGTGATCCATGTAGGAGCTGACCTGAGTAGGTGCATTCCCGAGCTGTGAGCACGTGGCGCCGGGTAAACGCAGCCGGCTGATCGGAACGGAGCAGCCTGTGGGCACCTCTCACCTGGCACCTGGGGATGCTGCTGCTGGCATGTCCTTATCTTTACCTTCAAGTGTAGCAGCAGGTTTGCATGTGAACATGCTTTTGCTTGACAGTAGGGATGATGAATAGACTTGTTTACTTTGGGGAAAAGCTGAGAGCCCTGGAGACCATGATGCCAGTGAACCTCAGCAGAGGCAGGATGTGTGCATGTGAGTGCAGTCTGTCTGTGCTGCACAACTCACTCTGCCAGCACCTGCAGAGATGGAACATTATCTGTGCTATTCCCTTTTTCTTCGTGTCATTGCTTGTGAAAGGTGTACTCGTACTTCATGGAGTCTTAATGTCTTCCTTTCTTGACAAATATTTGCACTAATGTGTTACAAAGCAGAGAAAGTCTCTCATGCATGTGTATTTCTCTTCCTCTGCATGGTATTTTGGATGATCTTGGGTGCAGGTTCATAGTTTGAATATAAACACAATATGGAAGACAAGTGAGGACCTCCCTTTGATGCTTCAGACAGTAAGAGGATTCAGTGCTGAAGTCCAAGAAGTCAATTCAGGTCTTCTAGTGGTTGCCCTAAACATGAGTCACCCACTGACATTTTTGTTAGAATTCTTCAGATAGTGACACACACCTAAAAATGACCCAGTTTGAAGAGTAGCGTGCCTGTGTTCAGCCTACATGATGTGATTCATGACAAGGCTGTGAGCAGCTGAGCTCTGTCTGTACCTCTGAGCCTTAAAATAACAGCAGAGCAGCTGTTCCTATTCAGACACGGCAGACGAGAAGGAGGTGAAGCTGTTACTGCCCAGAACCTGCCAGCCAGAGTTAAAGCACTCAGGCCCTGAGTGTCAGGTGTTTCATTGCAGACTTTCCTCAGCTGGGACTTTGCATCTTCAATTCAGCAGTCATTGAATAAAGACTAGAGAAAGCAAACTAGGACCAGCTTTCCCTTTGCCAAAGTTACACAGTGACATAGGAGCTGTAAAGTTGCTGTCTTTGCTTTTACCTAAGCCTCAGAAATCTTGTGTTTTGAGCTGTACTATCATGTATATCCTGCTAGCTGGTGCCCTTCAGAAGGGCTGCATGAAGATTTATGGAGTTCAGAAATGTACTTGAAGCTGTTTTAAATCTTAGGAGCCTCTGTCCTCTGGCTGGTGTATAATTATAGCAATGTAATGTCGTGTAAAATGATTTAAAAGTTTGTAAATAGTTACTCCTGTAGAAGCCCAGAAGTCATCTGTGTCTTGTTGCAATGAACTACTGTGATACACTTCTATTCTCCTTGTTTCTGGATTTGTTTGCTTATTCAGTTGAGTGCATTGAAAATTATTTTTAAACTTGACATCAAAGTTGAGTGACATAGTAAGGCATAAGGACTGAAGGTACTGGCAGATGATGTGACAAAGTTATTAAAAGGGAAGTTCAGAAAACTGAGGAATTCTGGCTAAAACAGAGTGAAGTAACTTAAAAATTCAGAAATACATTGTATGTTAACATTGTATCTATCCAGTGTTTGTACAAAAGTAATGGAAACATGCTTTGTAGTTTTGGGATGGGAGCAAAAGTCACTTTTTTTTGCACTCACTGTGAAATGTCACATTCAGTATTAATGCATTGGTTCTGAGAGACTTAAGCAAATATTTCCCTTTAAAATGTGCAACTGGGTCACTGATTGGAGAGAATTAAAACAGTGTGGGAATTAAATTAAAAGCTGTCCTTAAATTAGAGCAAATTAAAATGAAAACCTTATTTAATCGATTTTAAACACTTCTGGATCAAGCTGTTTATTTCTTTTTCTGAAGCCTTTCATGCTGCATCTACAGATCTAATTTCAGTGATTGATTACTGTGATTAAATGATAAAAGCATTTTTGTAAACTCTTGACCTCAATCTGTGCTATCATTTTGGAAGCCTGGTTTCTACTTGCTGTCTGTAATGTAAAGGAATTAAAGCAGGCAGAAACAATTTTGTTCATCTGAAAGTGTATCAATACATGATAATGGAAGAAAAGGATTAAAATCAATTATATGCCTCCATCACAATTCAGGAAAGTAGTTTCAGATCAGATCCTTACAAATCCTTACAAAAGACTGAAATAAAGATGCCACAGTTGGGCATAATGTTGGTTAACTGTCCTGCCCAGTGGGCAAGTCAGGAAAATGATCAGTAGCTTCAAGTATTGCCAGAACTGTTCCAAGACTCTGCTGTTTCATCTCCTGCCATAACCCTTTGATTTGGAATTACACTGTGTAATATTCTAGCAGTGTGGAGACATTTCTTACCAGAAACAACAAAAACTAATCTCTCTTGTGGTTGCAGGTGTGGGGGGTTGAACCTTTTGTGTCTTTATTAAGACTCAAGAAATTCCAATGGGTATTCAATAAATTCCAGCAGGTAAAGGTGCTAAATGCACTATAGATCCTTACATACTTATCTGTTCAGTCTGAATTCTTTTAACTTCTGACTTGTGTCAAAACCTGCACATTAGAATTCAAGTCTACAGGTTTTTCTTTGGGCTAGATATATACATGAATTCTGTATTAGAAATTGTGTGTGTATACAGAATAATAGTTAAAGGGGTTTTATCAGTAGTTAGTAATTGGTTCAGCTATACCTCTTCTCTTACCTAAATGGATTCATTTTTTCACATGCTGATTTTAAATTGACTCTGGTAACATTGGAAATGTAAGTCCTGCATGTGAGTTTATAAACATCTATTTCCCATCTAATTAGACTAAAGGAATTTTGTTTAACAATTGTTTCCAATTAGACACTAGTAATTGGCATCTTGCATTGCAAATATGTAATCTGTCTTTCAAATCCGTTTTTATTCAAAGGGAATGTCTTTAACTGGTAAAGTTGGCAATACTTTATCTCTGCCACAGTTGATAACAGCAAAGACTGAAACTTAGAGACAAAAAACAGCTGAATATGGAAAGTTGAATAAAAAACTTTTACGTATGATAGACTTCTAAAAAGTTTTCTAGGTGTTCATGCTCAGTTTTAAATTAATGTATAAGTATTAATCCTTTATATGGAAGGACTCTTATTCGACCAAATTATCTCTTCCTAAATCATTATTAGTTGTCACTTGTCAGAAGGAAGGTTGGATAGAGGACTCCTTTTAAATGAAGGATTGATGAGTACCTTGTAATTGAGCAAATCTAAAAAACCAGAGGCAAATTCAATTATTCTGAACGTCTGGAGTAAGATAGTGATAATTTAGATGTCCCTGGTATTACTGTAAATGAACTACCCTAAAACTGACAGCATGAGAGATGTATGGAATTAGCAGTAAATATTTAATTCTAATTGCAAAGGAATATGTTAAAATAAAACTAAGATAAGGCTTCAGTCTTTCTTTGGTGTTAAGCCTTATTAAATCTCCCTTTCCTCCATAGATGACTTTAGTCAGAAGGTACCAGATTGGAATATAATGTACTTTGGAATAAAGTTGTAGGTAGTACATGATTTATGTGCAGCTGTGTATAGCTCAATGTTTGAAGTGTTGCAAATGGCCTGTTAAGGGCAATAGACTGGTCTGAGTTCAGAGTTCTTGTGCTCTCTTGTAGCATTGAAACTGAACTGTTTGGTATTGACTGTTACACCTTTGTAGAGCACTTTAGCATTGATTTTTTTTTTAGGTTTTACCATTACAGAAATGTCTGTCTTTATAGGCTTTCAAGGACATTGCTTTGACATTTTAAGGATGCAGATGATTATCTTTGTTACAGGGACATTCTTTCTGATGGGAAATCTTCAAAATTTTGTTCAAAATAACAGGAAGGTCATAAGCTTGCACTTGCTTATTATAGTATGTCTCAGAAATGGATCATGGAAGTAGATGCTTTGATTCTAGGGCTCCCTGTGTATCACAGGCCTAAATCATAGAAAGATTCAACTGACAGCTCACAGGTGGAATCCAGATGTGTCCCAGGAACAACCTGAGCAGCTGAGGAGGCAGAGAACAGCTGGTTCTCTCCCCTCTGCAGACAGACAGGGCCTGCAATTCCCTATTGCTGCAGCATGACCTGCACAGCAACATTTCCTCCTCCTGGGCTGCCGTGCAGCACGTGGGACAGGGGATGCTACATCTATGAGTTAATTCATTTCCTCTAGGAGAGAGCTCTCCCACAGTGCACTTCTTGGGTCTGCAGCATCTATTTAGGGTTTGAGATTGCTTTTTTTTCTTCCTGCTGTTTGTCTTAATGTTTTTCTTGTAGAGACAGAGGGGTGAAGGAAAGTGGCATTTCCATACTCAGTGCCACTTTGATTAATGTTTTCCTTTTTTCTCAATTTCAGGGAAAGAAATAAAAAAGGTTCCTGTAGCAAATAAATTTTGTCTCTCTCCATTCACAAGGCTTCCAGTTTAGACTTCAGTGGTGTGATTTTTTTTTTTTTAATAATTGTCATCTAAGTAATTTCTGTCAATTTTAATAAATCTGAGCTGAAAGACTCTTTGTAACAGTTTGTCCAAATTTTAAAAAGCTATGATGAGATGAAAAAATAAAACAATCTACTTAGCTCAGCTTGTCACCTTACCTTGGAGTTGGCTATTCTGATATGATACTTAGGTAATACATGAAATGAATGTGAGCACTTAAGAATTTCAGGTTGGGACTGAGTTCTCAGATACAGGTAATGCAGCACCTTAAATGTTGCAGCTGACCTCATTTGCTTTTGGCCATACATGAATTCAGTGATTTGCCTGAGGAGCAGTGCCTGTGTGAGCCTGTGCATCTTGGATGCTGCTGAGACACAGAGCCTACCTCCCTGTCCCCACACAGCCAGCAGAGTGTTCAGGGTCACACTGAGGACGTGCTTCTGGCTCTTGCCCTGGGCTCTGACAGCTGAGCTGCCTTTACAGAACACTGCTCTGGCTCCTGGCTCTGCCCCCAGAAGGAGAGGAGGAAACTTCATCTGTTTCCATTGCTGAGGCAGTGAAGGATTCTAGCAGGCTCCCAGGGTACAAACCTGCCTGAAGAGTTGGACTGGGGTTAGTAAAGTGTCAGGTTTTCTCAGTTCCAGTTCTTTCCAGGTTTTCTCAGTTCCAGAAGCTCTGATTCATTATCAGGGAGAGTGGGAGCCTTGTGTCTTCCACTGAGCCATAGGCACCTATGGGATATTCTTTCCAGGGGAGGTTTTCTACACTAGCCCTGGTACTCTGCTTGGTTTCTATGTTTCTTGTTTAGTATCACACCTGTCTTTTTGTGTTACATGTCAGCAAGTGCCCAACCTGATTTGTCTTGCCTTATTTTTACTGCACTTTAGCAAGTTGGGTTTTGTGTTTTGTATTTTGCTTGAAACAGTAGAAAACATACAAATAGAGATTTGGCTTAATCTCAAGTTTGCTCAAAACATGCAGTGTGTAAGAAAAAGTATTAATGAAGCTGGGATGGGAAGAAGTTGCCATGAAATAGTGAAAAAGCATGGACATGTTTTAAATAGTGTTTCATCTGACAGACTGTGGAAGGGATTAAGTAAAGTGGCAGATAAGTTCATTTGCAATTTTTTCAGAATAAAGTAAGGATGTGTTCAGTCCTTGGACTGAATGGTTAAGTTATTCCTATTGGTTTGGATCCATTTATTTACTGTTTTCATTGTTTTAAGTCAGGCATGACAATGACTGTAATTCTGTCTGCAAAGTTCACATAAGTACTTACAGATTTTTCAAGTACCCAGTGGCTGCTAGATGTGTTTTTATTACATTTAACTCCAGAGCACTTAAACTATTTAACTACAATATTTTTAAATTTCTGCAATTTAGCCTTATCTCCACTTGGTTTATGTATTTTATGTGTTTGTTTTACAGCAATCAACAAGCGTTTTTACTAGAAAATGTCCCGTGCAACAACGCGAGCTGCAGGAGCGTGCGGCGCATGTTCAGGGTGTTCTGGGAGCTCTCGGATCTCAATCAGATCAAGGATGCAGTGGTAGCGACCTTCTTTGACATCTATGAGGATGTAAGTGCAGCTCCTGAGCCCAGCAAACAGGCTCTGGCTGTGCCTGTCCCTGCAGCCTTGGATTGTCCTGCTTAGCTGTGGGTGGCCCTCTCCATCCCAAAGTGATTAGTGTTAAATTCATAACGTTTGAAAGATATTAAAATAAATAGCAAAGGTGTCAACTTTGCTGCACAGTATTTCTTCCCGAGAGTAAATAAGAATTCTAATGTAAACTTGGGATTTTTTTTCCTCTAGGGTATCTTGGATATCATTGTGCTAAGCAAAGGCTACTCCAACAAGGACTTTGCTATCCATACATTGAAAAATAACTTTGAAGTAGATGCCTATTTTGTTAAAGTTATTGGTAAGTTATCAATGCATAGTAAAGTCAAAATGGGATACTGAGAGGAATGTGAATATTCGAGCCTTTGCCTGTGAAAACATTGTGGTAATGTTCTGTACCTCTGCCATAGCAAGCCTGCTTTGCTGGAGTTCATGTGGGTGTGTCATGTGGGAATGATGCAGAATTGCCTTCAAAAGGGGCTGATTTCATTTCAGGGGCTCCTGGCATGGTGGATTTTGCTTACACTGCATGGTCTGTTCTGAGGGTCACTTTGCATCCCTGTGGGAGTCAGCCAAAACCACGTGGCACAAAGCACACCTTACCCTGAGAGCACAGAGTGGCCATGAACATGGCCAGGGTGTGTGAATTAATGAGAGCTGGTTTAAAAAGCTTCAGTTAGATTACAATCATTCATAATTAGGTTTTTAAGCTGCATGACCTACTGTGCTCTTCAACTGCAAAAGCGTTGAGCTTTGAGCTTATTTTGTGTCTGTCTTGCTTGATTTTTTGAGAATGAGTGACAAATGAGGCTGTATGAGAACCTATGAAGACAAAGCTCACTAGCAACAACTAGAGGTTCACCTTCAAAAATTTATTTGCCTTCATGTTGCTTAAATGCATCCAATCCTCTAAAGCACACATTCTGCACATCATAGGAGAACAGAACTGCAGCTACTGCTGGGGGCTGATACAGTTATTACTTTATCCACAGCCTGAGCTCTCTTCTCATCATGATAGTGTTTAATCATTTATCATGTTGATGGAAGCCTTCTTTTAAATAATACCATATATCTGTAGTGTAATTCACAAAAGCATGCAGAAAATCCTCTGGAAAAATCTTACACTTCACAAAGCCATACCAGAATTATAATTGTGTGATATTTTAATGGGGAAGGGAGTAATTTGCAGCATGCTTTTGATTCACTCTGTGTAAATCTATCTTAAAAACTGGGGCAAGCCTTTTCTTAGCATCCTTTTAGGGCGTGAGTATTTTTGCATGAAAACCCCAGGAAATGGGAATTAATGAGTGTCTAAAAATATTTTTACTGTGATTCAGGAGAAAGTATTTCTTACAAAATGTGCTTTGTGTGAGTTAGTGTATCAATAAATGCATTGTATTCACTTATTTGGCATATGGACAATGAGAACAGGTTTGCTCATTATAACTGATGTCAAATGTACTTGGCCAGGTAATTTGTTCTAGGAGTGAAACTGAACAGCAAATTTCAGTGTGCCCTTTTGCATCAAAATGGGAAGAAGCTGGGTCCACTAGCATACTCACCTATGTGTAACAGATGAAATTAAAGCTGTAGCATTAAAAGCCTATTTGTAGGTGCATATAGTCTTCAAATTCTGCTTTGCCACACACATTCATCTTAACTGTTCAGATATTGGGGGGTTTGGACTGCATAAAATACTGCATCTTACTGTATATGGAAATTTCAACATTTTGAAATCACAAGCGAAGATTGATAATTTAAGAGTCTTGACAGTTGTTAATCTTCACACACAAATTTTTAGAAAACTTCCTTGACTAGAGCAGTGCCATTTCTGACTCACGTAGGGAATGATTTCTAATCAGACTGTGCACATCTTACATGCACCTTTCAGTATTTCCCTGGTCCCAAACATTTTGTACCCTTAACTCAATGGACTCTTAAAGGAGACAGAAAATGCTTTAAGAAACTCCTGGTGGTTAGGATGACCTGCCCTGGTCCAAATCTTCATTTTCTGTCTGCCATGCTTGCTTTGGGTTACCATAATTCATGGAGAAGTAATGTTTTTCCCTGGCTTCAGTACCTGGTGTGCATCCTCCTTCCTGCCCATAGCCATTACTGGCCTGCTGCTCAACCAAACTGTTGTCATTAGAAGTCCAAATTTTGCATCAGAATGGACCTTAGTTTATTGTATGTGTGTGGGTTTTGTTGTTTTGTTCTAATACTCAGTGTGACAGGATGTCCTGGCTTACAGAACAGATGGCTTTCACTGTCCCTCATTTCGATTTTTAACAGAGATTTCTGAATGTAACTGATTTTTCAAACTAGTAAGTTTGAAACAATTAATTGGAACAATTGTCACAGGCTTTAGATATTAATTAGCATTATATACACCTGCTTATAATATAATTTGAATTATTAGACTAAATCAGTAATGGGATTTTTGCTTGTCACAGCTTTTGTGAATTGCTTTAAACCAAGTTCCAAAATGATGCCTTGCATAGAAGGAAAAGCCTTGATCTTTTTATCAGTTAAAACAGTAATGCTGAATCTCTGCCAGTATTTTAAATGGCTAGAAATGAAGAATAATGAATGAAATGTATAGTTCACTGTTTTAAAAATGTTTTAATTTGGAATTTTTCTAACTGGCAAATCTGTCCTTTTGAAGCTGGTTAACCAATGAATTGGGGTAAAATAGTGATGAATTTCTGCCAAGTATGCTTCCAACAGATAAGGAATTGCTATACATTATTATAAATCACGAAGATATTTATTTTCTTTGTTTTTCAATGGCTACCTGACACTATCAGTAGATTTTACCAGATTTCAAAGGTGGTGCTTCAAAGATGTTTTGTGAACATAAACACAAGCTTACTTTTTGTTCTTGCAGTTCTCAGTGGCCTGTGTTCTAATGACTGCCCTCGGAAAATAACAGTAAGTGTAACCATGCCTTTGTTTAGTATTTACCCTCAAATAAGCTGAAGTCTAATTGTACCAAAAATTCTCAACATATATAAAGAGTTATTGACTGGAAGAATGTGTAATCCAAATCATGACTGGCTAACTTCTGCTTCTGTGAGAGCCATAACTCTGGGCAGCTGCTGTTCAGAGCTGGAGTCAATTGAGTGATTGCAGGAGTTTGTACCCCTGCCCTGGGGGCTGGGATATACCACAGACAAGTGGTGCCCAAACTGTGAATTGTGCCAAGTCTTGGTGGGCACTTACAAAGTCCAGGCCAAACTGACTGTGGGGCAGATGCAGCCACTTCTGGGCCAAACTCCAGCAGTGGGCACAGCCAAGGACAGAAGTGCTCTGGGCTCTGATGGTTCTGCAGGCAGCCATACACATGTGGTGCTTTCTGTTTAGATTATTTTATTGGTCTCCGGAGATCTGCAACTCACCCATCAAACTGCCAATTAGCAAATTGTTTAGCAATGTTCACAGTGAAAGTTGGCCTGAAAGAGGAACTTAGAGGAATCAGAGGTAACAGTAGCACTTAAGCTCTGCAAAAATTTCGCATTTAATTTTGACTTGAAATGGAGCTAACCTTCACTTCAAGCCTATTTTGAGACATGGGGTTTAATTTCTGTTTTAAAATAATGAGGTTTGATAGTATCATTAACTTAATTACAAAAATCGAGGGTTTAAAAAGCAAATCTTCACAGCAGATGTTAGTGAAAATTTCATTATCGAGATCACTGAAACACTCTTGCCTCCATTGTAATAGGAGTTCTCTGACAGAAAGTAACATAAGGTACATTATGCCAAAGTACAGCTATGTAGCACCAAAAAAGCCCGAAATTTCACCTTATTCACTCATCTTTCATAGATCTGCATTAGCATCACCTTTGTGGTCTCCTTAGTTTTCATTCTAATCAGTTCTTATTTTCAGGCTTTGATCTCACCTGTCATCATTATCACTTGTTCTTGTGGTTTAAACTTACTACTTTTTGAGGCATGGTGTGAAACATGTCATCATCTCTTAGTGTTCCTTCTGTAACTTACTTGAAAGCTCTCTATTGGATTTGATGCCCTAATATCAGCTTGAATTCAGCACTAGGAAAAAAAAAAAAGGAACAATTGCTTTAAAATTTATTCCTGCAGTTCTCTCATCCTCTCCCTTCCCCACCCTTTCTTACTGAGGTGCATTAGTTATGGTTCATCACTGAGTAATGCACAACTTCCTTGGATGTTTGTTTGTTTGTTTGTTTGTTTGTTGGTTTTATTTTTCCTCGTGACTATACTTTGATGTTTAAGTACATTTTGTTCCTCAAGAAATTTTGTTTAAAATAGATATCAATACGTGACAAGTAACTGTTCAATCACTTTAATTAATTAAATGAAACACTGCTAAATAATGATAAAAAAGACAGAATTTGTGGAGTATTTTTCAATTCAGAAATACCATTAAGACAGTGCATTCTCTCAGTATCAAATGAGTTCTGCTTTTTCAGAATATGTAGTTATTTCTCTGAATTTTTAGGGGGTTTTTACTTTACTTCTAGCTTCCAAGGAAACATTAAACCTTTTGCCAGAGGGCTGAATAGTATTGCTTTCTTCTAAACATGTTTCTAAACATTTCATAGCAAACAGATTACTGTGATTTTGAAAATTGATTTCCACATAATACTATGACCAAAACAGTTGCAATATTTTGAAGTTAAAATATAAAAAATAACTTATTAATGTAAAACCTTTTTTCTTTAGTTTACTGTTTAATTCCTATAGCTTTTTCTGTTCCTAAAATGTTGCCTGCCTTTTTCTTTGGTTTTTCTCTCTTGTAGCCCTTTGGAGTTAATCAGCCTGGTCCTTACATCATGTACACCACTGTAGATGCAAATGGGTACCTGAAAAATGGGTCAGGTAAGAGAAACTCACTGTGGGAACACCCAAGGCACAGTCTGTCTGTGTTTGTGCTTCTCAGCAACCTAAGGAGTTGGAAAGGTGACAGAGGGAAATGGGAATGGTTTCAATGGTGCCTTCAGTTTACAATGCCAAACCCCCCAGTGTTCTCTTCCTTCTTTACAGGATTGCATTTTTATTACAAACATTGCAATTGCATTATTTTTTTCACTTGTCCTGTGCCAGTTGAGTTTGAATTGTTGGCTGTAGCAAAACATTGTTAGGTAAAATATCATCAGTTTGTGAAATAGCAAAAGCTTCTAATTGCTTCCTAAGCAATTATGTATTAAGAAACAGCAGTGGCCTTGAAATACCTAAATACAATCCTAGTAGCCAGATGACAAAGGATCAGGATAATATTCAGGACACACAGATGTAATTGTCTGGAGTTGTTCACTACAACTGGCAGCTACCAAAATAAATCCTGAGTAGCCTGAGGAAGCTGGGGAGGAAATGCCTTTGTCCTTGCAGGTAATGCAGGAACTGCAGGGTGTCAATCATTAGGTAACAAAATCAAGGGGAAGGGGTGCTTGGTGCAACTTGTATTGTAACTAAAGCTTTACTGGCCTGAGAGGGTGCAGGTGCTGCTGTTTGCAGGCACAAAGACAAAGCAGCCAAAGGGAGAATCATGCATTAGGCTGTGGTCCAAGCAGTGCCTGATGTTAGAATATCCTGGGGTTTATGCTGCCTTCCTAGGTGTGGACTGCTGGCTTCTAGAAAACACAGGAGACTGCACAAAGTGCTTTATTAGTCTCATTTATGACTGGTAATCTTAGGACTATAATGGACTCATTTCTTGCTTAGGCAAAAATCCCAAACTCATAAGCTGAAGATGATCAGTAAGTGCAGTCATCTGTATCTGTCACTCCAGTCTCATTTCAAATTAAACTCAGATTTAAAAAAAATAGTTCCAGTAGTTCACTGGGAAGATTATATTCTGTCTAACACTAACTTAAATAAAAGCAATAATTTAGGGGAGGAAACACTGCCATGTTAAGGTCCTGGTCAGTTTGAATCACTAACAATGCTCTCACCATGAATAGTGTACTCAGGACTGTTAATTCCATCTGAGAAAAATTAAAGAGAAAAATGTCCTGAAATACAAACCAGCTAGCTGCAAAAACATATCTTGATACTCTTGATACACTTGAGTCTGTTTGTACATACTTAAATAAAGACATTTTTCTAACTCTGTGTCATGGAACAATGCACAGATCTTATAAATGTGTGGAATAAAACTAGCTTAAAATTTGGATCTATTTCATGTATCATTTTCCTATTTTTTTTCTGTGTCTCTCTTCCAAGAACTAAAGTAAATGCATTTTTCTTAAACGTTTTCTTTAGGGTTTGCTGAGTTTGGTTGGTTGTGGTTTTTTCTTTGTTTGTGTTTGGGGTGGCAGTTCTTCTAGAAATGCAGTGTTTTTTATGATTTACTCTAAGAAACAGTTTTCAAATCTGATTTAATACTGCTATATTCCCTTCACAGCTACCATATTTACTATAATAAAAACCTAACAGAGTCCAGGCATGATGAATTTCCTTTTCTGTTCTGACATTATGAAATAACAGTAATGAATTCCAAGTGCATTTATGACCCCAGCAGTGTTGCTGCAGGGAATTTTCTAATGCTGTCTTTGATCAGTTTCTCAACACTAATAAGTTAATAGATTTTTTTTTTGAGTCTGTATAATTCCTGCAAGAACTTTTGAAAGTCATGTTTTCTAAGGGTATTACATTAGGTTTATAGCTAGATTTTCTTCTCTTGCAAGTGTTATGTGTAAGATTCAGTAAATGTTCTGACTAGAATCACTGGCCTACAGGTTGTTGTCAGAAAAAACAGCCCATTCCATCACAATCCTCTTCTATTTGACTATCAGGAAATCATCAAGCAATATTCCTTATGTGTACTGGTAGGCAATACCAAACCCATGTGACATTTTTGGACCATGTATAAACCTACAAAATATCTTTTCCACATTAAGCTTTTATTAGTATAGCATCCATGTGCTATTTTAAAACTAATTTTCATCAACTTATTTGCCTTCCTTATATAATATGAGACAATCCATATTTGAAGCTTTTAATTATCTGAAAGGAGTAATGAGCTAATCAAAATTTTAAAATAATTATTCCCTTTCCCAAGAAGTAACATAAATAAAAACAGTTCTTTTTCTGATAAAAACAAAACTTATCATTCCTTTTTGTGTCCCCCTCCAAAGTCAGCTGCTGTTATTTATTGCCTTTATGGCTGTGCTCAGTGGGGGGACAGTTGTTGGCTGGACCACTGTAACCAACCACCTTAAGTTATCCCTGCAGCCCTGGGCTTAAGTAACCCATAAAATACTCAAAGTACCATGGTCCCCACTCTGCTTCTGATCTCCTAAATTCTGCAGGACTTGACTTGTGAGTTATGGCATCTTTCATGTAGACAAAATTGTGCAGAGAGTAAAATAAAAAGGCCCATATGGCTGTCCTTATCTAATTCATTTTAAGATTCTTTGATCTGCCAAGCCTTAAATACAGGAAATTTGCATAATTATGAGGGTTTTCTTAAAAACATTGTTAGAATTGTTCTGTCTCCTATTAACATTCCAGTATGTTGTTAAAAGATAGCAGAATAATAATTAGCATGTATTCTGTGCTTTTACTTTCACATTGCTCAATTCACTTGTAACCTTACGAGAAATACAGTTAAATTAGCTACAAGGAATAGCAATTGCCAACGTGGGCATTAGAATGAAGAAGTTCTGGGCCTTACATTTGCAGTTAATACCTCCAAAGACCTTCTCTTCCGAAGAGGAAAATCATCTGCAACAGCTCCTTCAAATATTTAAGGAATTTCATGCTTGAGATCAGACCAGGTCCAGTGTAAATCCAAGAGAAATACACAAACTCAAGTTTAAGTCATGCTTTCTGATCCATTCCTGCAACCTGCCTTCTCCCTTTTCTTTTGGAGTTATTTTTAAGGAGAGCCCATAGTTAAGTGTGAGTGTCAGCCAGATTTTCAGCTCTACATATACATTATATGTGTATATAATATACATTTCCAGGCTTTTATTGGGAGAATATCTTCTTTATTTCAGCCTGTGCTACACATATCTGAATTTTCTCTCCTGAAGTAAAAATGTGCTAATAGAGTTTGGAATAAACAGGCTCATACTTGCAGCTTGTGTCCATCAAACATTCATTCTGTGGTCCAGGAGCAAGTGGCAGTAAGGATCTCAGCTTTCCTCAAAGCTCCATGTCCATAGGAAGATTATCAGGGTAGCTTCACTCAATGGCTCATATGGATCAAATCATAATTTGTTTAAGCATCTGTATGAGTGAAGCTGTGTGGACTGATGGCCTTTGCAACTCTCATTCCAGAGCTCTTTCATTTTGCTGCTTTTGCTTTATTTTTTTAAAGCCTTCCATGGCAGAATGACCTTTCACATGCTGTGAAGTCGTGCCCTTCTGGTTTTTTGAAATCTGCTTACTCTTCCCTGTTGTTGCATTGAGTTCTCCTGCTGTTTAACTAAATTGAATTGTGAGGTGAACACAAATGTCTAGCAGCTATTATAGTCGTGAATTTAAACATAAACATTGCAATATGTACCAGAAAAAAAGCAAAATAAGCTTATTTTCAATGGCCATTTGACACTGCAAGGTTCATTGTGTCGAATTTCACTACACAGAAAGAAGAGTGTATTTATGGAACAAGCTGGAATAATTTAATAATTGAATAGTTGTATTCAATGAAAGGATTTTTCTGTTTTCTATAGGTGGGAATAGCCTTCTAGAATGTTTTTCTGCATAATTATCTTTTGTTTAGAAAAATTATTTAAACTTGTTATGTTGCTTGCAATATTACCAAACCTTGGATAGTTGAGCATTACAAATGACACAGCTTCCCCATACCAGTATGGTAATTCTATTGTTTGAGGGGGTTTTTAAGTTACCAGTTTTACTTCTATAATTTTATGGTGTAAAGGTATTTTTCATAAAAATACACATTCTCATAAAAATGCATCAGGTTTGGAGTTTAGGCTTGCACAAGTGTCCCAAGTGTTGGCAGCACTGCAATCATCAGTGTCCAAGTCCCAAGAGTGCACTTTGAGTTCCCTTCCCCATGTTATTTCTGGTACTCCAGAACCAGGTGTTGCAGAAAAGGTTGAGAGGTGAAGCTGTGTACTGCATTAATCTGGAATTTCCTATGAGGGGGACTAAGGAAAAGAGGCAACCAGCAGGGGAAAACAGGGAGACAACCCCAGCCCTTAGAAAAATGAAGTTACCATTGCATATTTGAGGCAGAAAAAGAACTCTTTAACCACTACTATTTTTTTTTCCAACCAGTGACCCCCAAAGGCACTATGAAAGGAACTGAAGTAAAGCTTTCAACTAAAGCCAAGCAAATCAATTTCTCCAGCTATTTATGAAGCTTCCAAGTTTGAAATTGTTGGGGTTTTGTTTGATTGGGTTTTTGTCTTGAAAGCTTCTTTATAAATTCTTAGGCATATTCCATGTTTTTCATTACTATCAGTTATGTTTCCCCTTTCTCTTTCAGTAAGTGGTTCTGGCATATTTTCAAATAAAATAAGAAGCTGCCAGCTTTACAAAATGGGGAAGCACTCAGTGCAATTTAGCCCAATGCTGGTAATGGCTGCAGAGTAAACATCACTGCAGAGTTCCAGCTGTGCAGGGAAGGGATGCATGGACCCTGTGCAATTGCACCCAAATCTTCAATGACCTTTGTCCTGTTCCAGATGTTGCCTCGGTGTTTTTCCCAGCTGTGCAGCTATCCATGCAGCCTCTGCATGGCAGATTTTGGACTAATTTTTACTTTTTCTAGGATGCATATGTTTGTCTAATCTATAATAAAAAGTAATTAATGTGCTGACCTCAGTGTTCAGGTAGGTGATGGTACAGAAGAATTTACATGCAAGTCTGAGACTAAAAGATACACTTCTGAAATCTTAAAAAGTATTGCTGAATTTTGGATTGCACAGAATGGCTTTAAATTGGCTAATTAAATGCAAATAATATTTTGTTAGGAAAAGCATGATAAAACAAACATAAGGGATGCTTCAGTTTGAAACAATATTTTCCATTAGTCTTTCAGTTCTGTGTAGTGATCTTGCATGTTCTGCTGTGTTATTTCACAAAATAAGTTTATTTGAACTGACTGAACAGTATCAGTATTGTGCATCTATTTCTGTAGATTCAGTGAGGCCTTTCCTAAATCCAGTCCCACTTGTTGTCAGTGCTGTTTAAACCAGGGCAGGCATTGCTTCTACATGTAACTACAACCACTCTCCCCTCACAGAGTTAAATTCTTCAGCCTGAAATAAGTTGTTGAGGACATTTCAGTTCAGCTCAGGGGAGAACAGGCTACCCTTGAGTTTTCAGCAAGTTTACATCAGGATAATGGAAACAGAAGGGAAATGACTTAATTCAGGTATAAAAGAACAAGTACTGGATGTGTCACAGACAACACATGGCTCTGGTTTTCAGACAAGACTTTAGAAAGGTTAATGGTAGGAATTGCTTCCAATTTTATATGCCAGACTTCAGAGGTAAGGAGATTGATTCTAAAAGGTCCAAAATGGTTTCTGAATATCAAACTCTGCAAAATCTTCTGAGGTTTGGCTGCCCAACATCATTAGCTTTTTCTAACAAATTTGATCTCCAATAGGCTGAAACCACAGAAAACCGTGTCCTGAAATGTTGAGGATTTTACTCTGCCTGAGGTTTTTTGAAGCAACAAACTTAATGATTTGTGATTTAAAACAATATGTATACCACCACTAATACCAATACCATAGCCCATGATATCTGCATGCTTTGAAATGGCATTTTTGAAACAAGAAGCTTAAGGCAAAAGACATAGTACTGAACAATCTTAAAAATAGTATTAAAAAGAAATCATGTGTAGCATGATCAGGAGAAGGATTTTTAATCCTTATTTATAATAACAGTTCTATGGATAAAGTAAAACAAACTCTGAAGCAACAACCACTTCCTCCATCTTTCCTACACTGACTTCCAAAAACCTAAAGAACAGTTTGAATGTGAGAAATAAATCCTGCTTTCCTCCTTGAAGATGAAAAACTGTTTTCATATTTTCTTGGAACAAGTAGAAAGCTGTTTCCAGTAGTTTTACAAGAGGGCAAATTGCTGTGGTAGCTATTTAAATTAAATTGGAAATATTTTCATAAGTAAATTAATTAGCAGTGACTGGGAAATTCAGATAATGTCAGTAAACTGTTGACAGTACTCTGTAATTTCTCTCTTTATTTTTCATCTTGGTTTGGGGCTTTTGTGTTTCTCAGGTGAGCAGTTGTCATTCTTAATTACTTGGTTGCAATTCTAAGTGGAACTTTTCAGTAAGCATCAAACAGAATTTGTGATAGATATAGGGTGAGGAAAGCAGGAGGAGTCTCAAAGTTATCCTGTGCTTAGTGAGCTTTAGTAAACTGGAACCTTCTACATGCTACCATCCTGCTTAGCTAATACCTCCCAATTTTAAAGGCAAATAAAAAAATAAGTATGTGCACATTTCTGCCTTCTGTGTAGAAGAAAACATTCCTTTCTGACCTTTGCAAATGTTCTGTTTACATCCTGAAGCGTAAGATTTCATTATCCTTATCTTAGTAGGCATAAGAACCAGCGTTAGTAGCCATGAAATTATTCCGTGCTTTAAGAATTCTTGCTGCAGTATGTGACTCTCTAACCTCTTTAAGGCTGACTGCACACAGTATATGACATTTTCTTTTATTCTCTTTAATTTAGTTGACATTCATTTCAGTTGTAAGATGAAAGAAAAAAAGCAAGATCTTAGTTGCAGTCTTCTCATGATCCTAAATATTTCACTCAAAAGTAATTCTAAAAGCTTTTCGATGTTACAGCAGTACCTTGTTCTTTTGGGGAAAGTCCTTCAGCATTCAGCATTAGTGAAACAAATTCTAAAAGGAAATTTTTTTTTATGTTGCAGCATGCTCAAGTAACACATCTGGTTTCTCTAACCAAGTCAAATTGAATACACCCACCTTTGATCTTTAGTACTTGTATGTTGGTAGCTGGAGGTTTCCGATATTACGTAATCGAAGAATTACTCCCATTTTAGATTTGGATCTTGACACCTGGAGATTGAGCAGTTTAGCCAAGATCATGTTAGGGGAGTCAGTGGCAGGGCAGGGACATGCTCAGGACTCATATCTTATGCTGTCCTATCCTGTGTTATTTCAACTTAATGGAAAAATCCCTGTTCTTAAAGAGAAAAGCTGCTCAGTCAGTGTTTTGTGCCACATCTTCTATAATTGAGAAATCTGCCTAGCAATGTGCACAGTGCACCTTTTCTTCACAACAGAGACCCAAAAGTACAAATCCAGCAATGAGTATTTCCTCATCTGCTTTTTCATTACATGGTTCTGCATGGGGAAAAAAATAAATCTAAAATGTATATAATCTTTAGGAAGACCATTACTGTTTCATTCTGCTAATAGTGTTTTAGTTTAATAAAAAGATAACTGCATCAAGCTGATTTTTCAGATCTCAGTTGACATTTATCTTGCTTTTTAAAATAAAATTATTATAGCTCTAAACCCACAATAATACAGAATATTTACCTCCTGATTAAACAAGCCTATTTCAAAACATGCCTGACAGTATATGGCAAGTGGCTTCCTCAGGAGCTGGTAGGGGAAGGGAGGTTCACAGAAGCAGAACCATGAAGCAGTGAGTGTAATGGGCAGGGGTTCAGAAGCAGCAGCTGCTCTACAGGGAGCAGTTTGTCCCAGAGGAGCAGACAGGAGCTGAAGAGCTGCTGCTGGAAGTGGGTGTTGTGTCTTTGCTGTCCCTTGGTGAAGTGCTGCTGTGTTTTGGCCAATGTTTAGTGACATCTCCAGGAGCCAGGAATGGGAGGGTGGGTTTGGTTTTTCTTGAAAGGATATTTGGCTTTGCCAGAGAAGTGGTGGTGGTGAATTTGGAGATTTTCCTGCCCCGTGTTCACCACAAATACACAGATTATTGTGTCACCAGTCTGGCCACAGCCGGTGGGCTGAGGTAAAGTGCTGCCTCCTGAATCAAGCCTTGGATGGGAGTTTGGAGAGGTACAAAGGAGTTGGCTGTAAATTCATTACAAAATAGGGCCTCCTGTTCTTTAATTCAGATTCTGATGCATTTTGTCGTTTAACTTTTAATTTCTGGTTTCAGGCATAATCTATTAGGGATCAAAGCTGAGAGAAATCTGATGCTTTAAAAATACTGACTAAATCACATCCTTGTGAAAAGCTGTTTCTCTTGGTCACAGAAACCCATTTGTGGCTGTCAAGTGTCCTTTGCACTCATTCCTGTTAATGTGGTGAAGGCTGATTTCACTGTGGTGCTTCTGAGGTGCTGATTCCTGCTGTGAAAGCAGCTCACTTGCTAAGAGAACAAAGAACCCACACAGGATCATAATCTCTTGGCCAGAAACTGAACAATTAGAGAAATTTTTTTGTTTAATTTGAATACCTGGATACTTTGGAAATGGGATGCCACTGAACTTGTTGATAACTGCAACATTTGTCTGTTTCCCTACTGCCTTTTCAGAAAACCAAGAAGTTTATTTTCCACCTACAGTTTCTCTTATAGTTATGATTGTCACCACTGCAATCCTGTTTTCATTAAGTTAATTTATTCTTTGAAAATTTGTTCATGAGAATTTACTTAGCTAATTTTGTGACACAGTAGTAATTACAGACTAACACTGACAAGAATTAAAGTGAATCTTCACATGTTGAGTCTGATCTTGTAAATCAGTGGGGCACAAAACTCGGTACTAATCATATAAGAATAAATGCAGATGGTTGATTTCTTCTCAACTTGTAACAAATAATGGAGATTCGAGTTAACATAGAGATGGTACTCAAAAAGAATTGTCTTACCTAAAAATGTAAATTATTTAAGCTCTTCTCCAAGTGAGTGCTTACAGGTAGTTTGGAAATGTGGGATTGAGCCTTTAAGAATTAAATAATCACACAATTGGTGAACACATTTAAACATTTTTATTACTGACTGGGCAACGTGCACTTGTGTAACAAGTTGGTAGTTTGGGGCTCGATTGATTGGGGTTTTTTTCCCCCCAAAATACCTACTTGGCTTCCTTTCTGCTTGCCTGCAGCTGGCCAGCTGAGCCAGTCAGCACACTACGCTCTGCAGCTGCCCTACAACGTGCTGGGCTTGGGCCGCAGCGCCAACTTCCTGGACCACTTGTACGTCGGCATCCCTCGGCCCTCAGGAGAAAAGGTTGGGTGACATTTCCCATTGTCAAACTAATTATTTATGGTGCTACCTTTCCTAAGAGACTTCGAGTGGAAATACTGCTGGGACAGATTTTTTTTTCATTTTCTGAAGTAAGAATCTCAAAGCAGTAAGTTTGCATACAGAAAGGTTTGCCCAAAAGAACCAGTTTGCCCAGTTTTGGGGGGATGTGTAAACTCTGAAGCCAAAATAAAACCAAAAGATGACTGAAACGGTCTGTAAATGTTGGCACAGGTATTCAGTGCTTATTGGTAGGGCAAATGGGTATTAGGTCTGAGGGTCCAATTACTCTGGACTGCAGTAGCTGCAGGGCTTTCCCAGAGTTGCTGTGGCCAGGCTGGGGCTCACGTTATCCCTTCTGCCTTGGTGATAAAAGCATGGGCAGTGTCATGGTGGGGGGAGATTACTGTGATTCTCTAATCTTCACATGAAACACAAAAATGGGGTCCTCACCATTTTCAGCCTTTAAAGATCTGGTGATACTACTGTGAAAAGTGAGGTACTCACATGGGCCAAATTGTGATTTGGATAATTGTTTTGTTTGGCCTGCCTCCTTTGTAAAATCCATTCTTTTCTTCTTTCCTTATTACGTTGTTGCTTTATACTTGTAAAGCAGATGCTGTGTTTCATGTCAGCAATAGCTGTTTTGCTTTTTACTTTTGGGGGCTTAGTTTTAAAGCATTTTGGAGCTTTCAGAGGAACAGGTTTATACAAAGAGGGATTAATCACTTATATTTAAAGTTTTTTAAAAACTCACAACTTTTTTATTTCTCCTTTTGTATATTTCAGTTTCACAGAGAATTTCTTTGCTTGTAAGAATGTTTGTTTGTTAGGAATTGACATAGCTTTTGTTTTTCTTTCAGTCCATAAGAAAACAAGAATGGACAGCTATCATACCAAACTCCCAGCTTATAGTCATTCCCTATCCTCATAATGTTCCTCGAAGGTAATGGCCTCATTTGAATTTGCACTTCCCAAAATTACATTAATACACAGTGTAAATTAGGCATTATGTGTAGGTTTAGAAATAGTTATTTGTATAGAGACCTACTGAAGAACAAGGGCAGGGGGTCAGTGCTGAGCTGGAGCTGAAAATGCTGCTCAGGTATTTGCACAGCCTCTCAGATGGTGCCCATAAACAATCAAAACCTATTACCAGCTCAGACAAACAATCAAAATGTATTACCAGCTCCACTCCTGTAAATAATAACATACTTGCTAGATTGAACATCCTCAGTGACAAATTACAAGCATGGTAATGGTTGAATTAAGCTTTTTTGTTTCACCAAACATGCAATTTCTGTCTGGTTCCATAGAAAAGCTTTGCCTCAGCCCTTCTGAATGCAGTAGCTGCTGCTACAGGAATGAATGTTTCCCTTCAAGTAAAGGTGAATGGGTTGGTTGCACGAGAGCTTGAACATGGAATTCACTTTGCAATTAAAATAATTCTCCCAGAAAGAGAGCATGTTTCTCTTTTTGCTATTAGAGAAAACATTAGGCAAATATTCCAGCTGCGTTTTGCCGCTTGATCTACCAGTGAGGTCAGTAGCATTTATCATGCAGAAATGATTCTGACATCAGTTCAGCAGTTAATTCTACTAGAGAACAAATAACGCTGGAGAAGTGATGTGCTGCTTGAGTTGCTAATTAACAGCCACAGAAACAACATCTGCCAGATGAAAATTTAGTTACAGTCTTGAGGTATTTAAAGGTACGTGTTGTGCTAAACAATTTGTGTTATCATATCCTTAAACTGTTTTTGCTTTCCTATAAAGTGGGTTTATGGACACTGTAGAATAGCAGAGGATGGAATCCCCAGATGAAATCAGATTTCATCATAAAAGCTTCTTAATTTTTTCTGAACATAGGTATGTGATTTCCTGAGAGGCCTCAACATAGAGCCTGCTGCTGACAGCTTTCCCATCATAGGAAACTTGTACAAAAAGGGGGTTCCCCAGGCCTCAGCACCTCACATGATTTGAGGGATGTCTTCCAGGGGCCCCAAAGTGCTTAATTTTGTTGATTTTCAGCCATTATCAACTGCTTACGGTGCCTAGAACTGCACTTGTCCCTGGGTAAACTTCAGAAAAAGAGAACTGGACCCATGAGCCTGTCTGAGAGGAGCTTCTCATTGTGGTGGAAAAATCTTCCAGGGTTATTTCTCCCTGCTGCAGGCCCCAGGCATTCCTGTGAAAGGTTTCCTTATGCATTTTACTTTGTCCTAGGCAAGGGCAGGAGATAAATCTCCTAATGAGAAAAAACTCATTCCCTGAGGATATCCATAGCATTCATGAAAAGTTAAACAGAAATTGTACTTAGACATGGTATTGCTCAAAAATAATTATATTAAGCTGTATATTTCCAAGTAAACATCATTAAGCTTCAGTCTCTAAGTAGAGCTGCTCATTTGTCTAGACCAGGTTGTCACCTGTCTTGCCCTAACAGGTTCTTTTCATCTTTGTCAGTAAAATATGTTTCCTGCTTTTTAATGAAGGGTATTAATGTTTCCTTGGATTTTCTTCTTTTGTATAGCTGGAGTGCCAAGCTGTATTTGACCCCAAGTAACATTGTACTGCTAACAGCTATAGCCTTAATTGGTGTCTGTGTTTTCATCCTGGCAATAATTGGCATATTACACTGGCAAGAAAAGGTAAGCTAATTGCTAGAATATTTTCTTTATAATTTCTGTGCTATTTAACACTCCCTAATATTTTACAGAGCTGTACATTGGGGTTTTTTTACGTTTTTCTACAGTATAATAGTTTCTGTCACAGATTGAATTAAGTCACAAAAGGTGTTATTATTAATTCAATATTTACCACAAGTTTAAAAATTGGCATTTTTTTTCTTTAAGCTCTAAGGCACTTAAGCTTGTTCATGTTGCTCTTCATTTCCTTTTTTCCATTAAGCTGTTATTTCCAACTTAAATGAGCCATCTTTGTTTCATATCTAAGCTTTCCATTTTTCAGTTTTAAGGGGAACTGTTTTGGAAAATGGAACATGAACTCAGTTTACTTATCTTGAGTTCTGCTGGTAATCTAAAAATAAGGAGAAAGTCCTTTTTGTGTGTGTCTGTTTGGTGGTTGCACTGACATTGACATTCATAGGGAGTCAGTCGTGCACATTCGTGCTTTGCTCTGTGGGTCTGAGTTCCACATGCAGGGTATAGAAATCCATGGATTTGAAGAACCATTTTGAAAGGGACCTTTCATGTCAGAAAAGAAATGCATTCCCATTTTTCTTAACTATGCTAAGTTCACAATCATACCCAACTGGCAGAGTTGCCAATAAATGTTACTACATACCCAAACCATAATCTTAGCTGTCAGATAAAATTACTGCACATTCTGACATGGTAGAACTGTTTGTTTTTGTGCTCGTGGAAATAAAATGACCTTGTTAAACATTCAGATAAGCTTTGCACATGCTTCATATTTAAATGTTATTTGTCTGTCAGTCTTCACTCTTCAAAATGTTAAATACAGTCTCCAACTAATAATAAAGTTGGGAATAAGATACACAAAGCAAAGAAATACAGAGTTTATGATGGCTGTCATTAGCATGTCCTGCTGTACCAAGAAAGCACTGCTCACTGATAGCTCAGGGCTGGCCACTGCCTGGCTTTAATTCTCTCTCCATCATATCTTTAGCAAACAAGAATAGCAGAAAAGGTATTTGAACTTGGAGTTGGGCAAGGATTACCTATGTATAATTCCTTCTGGAGAAATGGAGATTTAAGGGCAACATTCAAAACAATTTTTATACAATAATTCAAGCATTGTAGTGTAAGGAAAGACTCAGGCAAGAGAGCTGTTTTAAGTCCCAGGTTTGTGTGAATGAAGTGGTGTATTGGTTATATTGTAAACTCATTTCCAATTCTGCCAGCACAAAATAGGCACAAATATTTGGACAAATTGTGTGTGTTTTCAGACCATTGTATAAACAGGTCTTAATTCTTATATTCTTCCTATGGATTTTTACCTTCCCAATGTTTAGATATGGTTGAGATACTGAACAAATAAGAATGTTCACCAAGGCTGTGTTGTGCATCACTGACATGTGTAAAGTTAAACTCCAAAGTTCTTTGTTTCTTAGCTTGTTCTTAGTTTACTGTCTCAACAATCCTCTCCTAAAAATACTGTCCTGGCTAAATGCCTTTCCCTGCAGATCTCTGGAGTACACCAGCAAAGAAAGGAAAGGGAAATTAACTGGCACTTAAAATCTTTTCTTTCCCCCAGAGGATGTATGTGTCTGTAAGCTGCAGTGTTTTGTTCAGCACTTTAAATAAACACTGGACTTTGACCTCTGCAGATAAATGGTAGCAGGGCCCTTTGTCTATAGTAGTTCTTACACGTATTGGAATACTGAAATAACTGTAGGGTTTTGGGGTAGGTGTTGCTCCATCTTGCCTTAGAAATTTTGAATGTGTTGGAGGAAAAAAAGCTTTGAAATCTCAGTTACTAGATTTTAGTTTTGATACATCAAATGAAAGAGAAATTGAGGAAGAATTGACACCATTATTCATATTACAACAAATACAATCTTGCTACATTTGCTACAGCCCTCAGTAGTCCTTATTCTCATTTTTGAGAACTTGCTTTGGGGTCATGAGGTCGGTCATGAAAACTGCACAGTGATAGAAATTCTGCTGGAGAGGGTTTGCTGGATCCAGCAGAGTATCAGTTACTGTCAAATTTGAAGCCATAATTTTTTCAGGAAGCATACAAGAAATGGAGTGGAAATTGTTTTCCAAGTGACACTATGAAATTCTGTGGAATGTGACAAGCATTTCAGTGTAGGAAAGAGTGTGCCACTCCCTTCTTCCCACCCCTTTTCTGAATCCAGAATACTACTGACACTGATAAAGTCCCTGCCAAAAAAGCCAGACTGATATAACTTAAACCTCACTGACAGCTCTGCTGCTGCTACAAAATGCAGTAAAATCCATATTTAATCCAATGGAGTTGCTATCACACATAAACATTGTGTAATGAGGAAATCTTTGGCCTTGAGCCAAAGCAGATGACAAACTCTCATGGCAGAAGACGGGCACCGATTTCTGCCACAATTGTTGTGTATTTTTATCAACTGAGACACAGTTCTGAATGCCCACGCAGCACCTACTGGAGAGGCTTTTCTTCATTTTACTCCTTAAAAAAAAAAAAAAGAAAGGAAGAACATGGGCCTCTGCAAGCTAAAAAGCATTTCAGTCTGCTTTGCCAAATTCTCTCATGCTGGGATTTACACATACTGTCTGTCATGACACAAGCACATGTTTGCACTGTGTGTGAAGAATCCTTGAAGAAATGCTTCCATCCTCTGTTAAGTGCTTTAGCACACGAGAGGAAACGTGGGAGAGGACATTTTTATACATGACATGGACTCCAGGTACAATTTAAATATGCTGCTTTTTTCCAAGCACCAACCCAGTTCACTCTTTCAGCAGGGTCAGTATGTGTTCTGCATAAATAAGCAGGGAAATGCATCCTACTTCACATTTTCATAATACAAACAGAAAACACAGAACATTTTTCCTCATTGGTGCTCTTAGTTGTTGGTTGAACTGTCGTCTTGCTCTAAAGTTGTATTTAACAGAATGTTTTTAAATGAGATTCTTCGTACATATAACATAAATTACATTTACAGTTAGTCCAGAGTAATTTCATCTTATATCTATAATGTAGACAAAATGGATACTAGGAAACAGTCTCCAGGTTTGAATTATTCCTTTTAAAAAGTGTTATTAGAAATAACAGAAAATAATGGGTCATAAATACTATAACAGCAGAGCATTAACAGCAGAAGCCAATTTTGTGTAGATGATTGCTATTTCAAGCTGACATCATTTAAAAGTTAATTGTTGGGGCTTTTACTAAGTCTTTTTGCCTTTTGTTAAATGGCTTGAAAAAATCAACCATTCTCTGACACTTGACAGCTCATTTCTGTAATAGTATTGCTCTAGATTCCACAAAGTGTTTTTTTATTATTATTTTTCAGAAAGCAGATGACAGAGAGAAGCGACAGGAGGCTCATCGGTTCCATTTTGATGCTATGTGACATGCCTTAATATTTATGAAGGAGCTGCTACTCATTTGCTTAATTGAAAGACTAAATTCTGATTTTTAAAATTATTACCATGAAAGTACTGTTGGTGTGTTATTTGTAAATGTTGCATTATCTGGTATTTATTTGGAAAGTATTAAAATTAGACCTGAATGTCTCACAAGGCCTTTCAGTTAAGAGACTGTATATAATAGCATTTGGCCTTTATTTAACAGAACTGTAAATTTATTTTTCTTAGTAAAGGGTTCAAATTGCATGTACCATTGTTTATGTACCAATTCTTTAGTAATATTTGATAGAAAGAAAGGTGTGTAAATGAAGTGTAGCATTTCAGCAAGCAGAATACCTTGTATCACTTGATTTGGTCTTGTCCTTTATTCATTCCTGCAAAACAACCTGGTTTTTGAAAATTAAACTTGTGAAATTTCTCAGATGACTTAATTGTTAATTATTTTGATTGCATTAAATGGTGCTTAACCTAAAGTATTCTGTATTTTTCTTTGTTTAAGTCCATATGTGTAATAGTTAAAGAACTTAGGAATTAGAGAAGTGAAAGGAACCTGAGTGTAATGCTAGTTCAGCCATCCTGGGATGGATGCAGTATTTATGTGTGCTATTTCTAGGGAGAAGACGACGCATTAAAAAATTAAAATCATAAAAATGTATCAGCATTACATAAACTGCTTTTATAATTAAAATATAACCACATTTATTTTAGAAAGGCACAAAGTCATTATGAAAGGAACTAGTTTTTTTATATAATAAATGTATGGGATTTTTTGTTTGGTTTTGTTTTTCAAGAAGTTAACATTTTTGAGGAGAGATTGGCGATTGATGCCCTAAAATGTATTGCTAAGTGATGAGATATGCAAAAATCAAATTAAAATGTAATAGGACACTCAGAACAATCAATGCACATTTTCTATGTACACTGCTATCCCCAAATCTCATAAGGCTGTAATAGTGACAGAAGACTTGTCTCTCAACTTTAAATATTTTAAGTGATGATAAAGTTACAGTTGCTCAGTGTACTTGGGATCCTGGAAGAATCTCTGAGAATAATCATGCTTTTATTTTACATGAGCCTATACTATTAATGTTGCATTTACATCAGTTAATTTGCATTCCTAATTCAGTTTGGTAAAGGAACAACAAACTGAAAGTGTTGGTTGTGAAGCACTCCTGTGTGCTGTGGGTCCCTGCTCAGCTCTGGCACCTCCCTGGAATGCTCCCTGTGCCTGGCAGCCCTGGACCAGAGGGAGCAGCTCCAAAGCTGGGCTGGTGGTGCCCACCCTGAGTGCCATTCAGCCCCTGGGTCAGCATTCACAGAGCAGCACCAGGGCACAGCAGCAGTGTCCTGAGCTCTCAAGTGTCACCGGCGATTTCCAATAAGCACTGATCAGATGCCAGCACAGGAGACTCTCATATCAGCACAGAATATTTCCTTAATGCCTACCTTCAATTTTTCTCATGGGAAGGTAAGGGTTTCTTTAGATAAATACTTAATGCTTTTGGACTTTTTAAACCATATTGATAGAATTGGCTCGCACCAGCAAAAGAAAGAACAGATTTCATGATTAGGAGGACACAGTTCAATATATTTTCCTGTCTTTTTCAGATGGTTGGAGAATAATGTTAAATGCATAATGCACTGTGGCAACAAAGTTGTCTGTAACCCTCTATCACAATATAATACACATAGATTAGCTTCCTTTTGTTTTGGAAAAAGCAATTAGGAATAAAATAACCTCATGCTGACATTTAAGCTGTTGTACAAAACAATGAACTTGGTATCTCTTGCTCTGAGGTATTTTGCATGTTCACTAGTGCATCATTGCATCACTATATACAATATAATAAAGTTTACCCCAGGTTCTAAGTACTTGTGTAGCATGGCTCACATTCTATGCATATTGTTTTGAACTAAGGCATTAAATATTGTTAAACCTGTGGTCAGAGGTTTCATGTTGTATGGTTCTCTATTCTATAAGCATTAAATGTATGTTTTGGGTAAGGTTATTGCCCTTCTACCAGGAAGTGTAAGAACGCAGCATCAATTAGAGAGCTGTAGTTCCAGGTGATTGTCACAGTAACTGAGAAGTGAGAAATAGTTCGAGCTACATAAATTTTCAAACTGCAGCCACTCTAACACAGCCCTGGTGAGAAATGCTATTGGAAGCTTCCTTGGTGTGAAATTTCACCTATATAAAAATACTGTTGACAGGCCAACTGACAGATGGCTGTTGAAATACCATCTTTCTTTGTTCTCATTTTCCATGAGAAGCTTTAAGACTGAATCTTCCTACCAGATTTATCATTAATGCACTATAATCCCCCAACAAAAGAACCAACTTTCTGCTGCAGATTAATAGGCATATTATATATAGTATGATATTCCTCCCGTGCTCAGGCCATCGTGCTTACCAGACAGAGACATTAAGAACACTTACTACAGTTAATTGAGAAGTAATTACTACAAATGCACCAAGTCAATTCGGGGCTTCTGTAATCACAGAATGGTTTGGGTTGGAAAAGACCTTAAAGCTCATCCAGTTCCACCCCCTGCCATGGGCAAGGACACCTTCCACTGTCCCAGGTTGCTCCAAGCCCCATTCAACCTGGCCTTGAACACTTTCAGGGATCCAGGGGCAGCCACAGCTTCTCTAGGAACCCTATGCCCAGGCCTCCCCACCCTCACAGGGAAGAATTGATTCCTAGCACCTCATCTAAACCTCCTCCCTGCCAGTGTGAAGCCATTCCCCCTTGTCCTGTCACTCTATCCCTTGTATATAATCTCTCTCCATGTTTCTTTGGAGGCTCCTTTCATGCACTGCAAAGTCACCCCAAAGCTTCTCCTCTGCAGGTGAACAATGCCAGCTGTGCCAGCCTTTCCTCCCAGCAGAGCTGCTCCATGCTCTGCTCATCCTGGAGCCTCCTCTGGGCTCTCTTAGCAGCTCCAGCTCCTCGCTGTGCTGGGCCAGCTCTGCAGGTGGGGTCTCACCCAAGTGGGGCAGAGGGGCAGAATCCATCTTTACTGCCCTCCCAGGTCCTTCTCTGCAGGTTTGCTCTTGACCCACTGATCCCCAGCCTGTGCTAATATTTGACATTGAATAGATACCAATGGGTTGTAATTGATATAACTTCTTTCAAATGAATGACACCAAAATAGAGCAGGTGAAGTCCTGCTCCTGAATCCATAAGGTCCTGCTATATTATAATCAACAGTGTAAAAGCATTAACAGTCTGTTTTAAAAGTATTAATAACCAATAGAATTTTTTTTTTAATTTAGAAAATATAATTATGCAATAGAGGAGTTAAATCTGACATTGCTATGCTGCTTTAGTAACCCTACTGTCCATTCTGGGGACAGGATCTAGTTGTTGAGGCACTGGTAATATCGGGCTCCTTGTCACTTTGAAAATAATCAGCCACACAGCACTATGCACTATTTTTATAATTAATTCCTGACTTCAGTGAAAAATGTGATCCCATCTATGATACAATCCATAATAATTATAACCTAATTTTGAAATTAATGAATTTTTCAACCTAAGCTGAAAAAGTCTGTAGGTATATTCTAACACTCAGATCTAATTATATTGCCTACCAAATAGAGAAGTGCACTGTCAGCTTTCTGAAGGCTATGAGTTGTCTTCCTGACTATTCAAAAGTTTGCAGTGTTCATTACTCAGTAGTAAATTACAAATGCAGCTGTGCATATTTATGTATGATTATGTATTACATATTGTGATACAATTACAATTGTATTATAATACAATACTGAGGCACTTGTACTTTCTATCATTTTCTAATTATAGAAATTATATAATGAAATTAGGATTTATCAAAGGCACCTAAATCGTACTGACAAAACCAAGTACCAGAACAGTTAAAACATAACTCCTTATCTTCTTTCACAATTATTCACTGTTGAGATCTATATTTTTGCAACCTCTTTTAAAAACAATGTCCAAATAGCTGCTGGTCTAAGGCTGTTTGGGTTGTACGCTTTGCTACTCAAGAGCAGAAAATATTTTAGGTAAATTAAAGTTAAAACTTCTCACAGAACAGCAAATCAAATGAAGTTTTAAGGAGGAGGCAAACCCAGTTCTAATAATGCAAATGCAAGCCTTTAGCTGCAGCAGAGCTCTGTTGTGACTGACTCATTCATCAGCTGCTCATGCAGGTGTTTACCTACATCAGAGTGAGTCCCACTGCCTTCCCTGAACTACTGCTACTCAAAAATAATCATCAGGACTTGATAGAGCATCAGAACAATGCACAGCTGGCTGCCCAAAACCTTTGGACAGGAAAGGTCTTCAGCCTTTCTTGACTCCCAAACTCAAGTTTAATTAAGTCAAGCTTACTGCTGGTTTGACCCAGTGGCAGAGCGTTTTCCTCCCTGGAAAGCTGCACTCTGCAGGCTCAGAAGACAGGAACTAAAAGCCTCTTCAGACCTGTCACCAGTGAAAGCACCGTCTGTAGCAGGAACTCCAGCAAAACAAAGCAACAGGGATGTCCACAGGAGAAATGTCTCTGAAAGCAGCAGTAAATGGAGGCAAAATGTGCCCCAAATCTACAAATTGATGCTACTCCCTGCCTCTCCTGCACTGACAGCTTGACACAGCCCTGGAAAGAGAAGAGGATGGAAAAGTTGCTCATTTCCCCAAGTGTGTAACAGCTCTGTTCAACCCTCTAATGGACAAGCCAGAAGTTCAGCTCTTCAGTTCAACTGACTGTAGCAGATTAGGTCTTTGCAATTACTACCCAAACTTGTACTGAGCACACAGCATTACAAGGATTTTCTCCTGTCTCTTTCGTGAGAGACAACTGACCACAAAAAATTCTCTTGAATGCAAATTCAGCCCGAGATCTAAGAATTGGGCCAGTTCTCATTTCTTATATCATCATGAGTAATAAAAATATCCAAGTCAAAATTCTGCCATCGGCTATACTGTGCATTCCAAAAAAAAAAAAAAAAAAAAAAAAAAAAAAAAAAAAAGCAACCTCATGTTTCCTAACAATCTGCAGTAGTCTTGGATATTTTCTAGCATTACTACAGTAAACATTTGTGTTAGTAAATAAAATAATGCGAGGACTTCTTTATGCATAGGAGTTTCCACTATAGAACTTACACCGCTATAGATACATGGTTAAGAGGGGAACTGAGGAATCGCTTTGTCCACTGCTGGAATGTGGCAGCTATTTCACAATTCATGGAAAAACTACGCTTGGAGGAGGACTGTATCATCTCTATTTGAAATTGAAAAGACAATTCAAGTAAGTAGAATAATATAATTATGTAACTTGGGATTTTGCCAGACCATCAAGCTTAATACTTCATGAAGCTTCTTGCAACACTGAAATGGATCTTTAATACCCAGAAAAGCTCAGGACCTTTGCTGCGAGGTCTCACCGGGTGTCCGGGAGGAGCTGCCCCCGCCCCGTCCCGCTGCCCCACGGGGCCCCGCGCCCGCTCCCTCTCGCTGCTCTCCGCTCCCTTCTCCATTTAATTCGCCCTCGCTGACAATCACACGGACTTGAAGCGCCTGAAATATTTAACAGATAATCTGAAGCAAGAGAATGACCTTTTCTAACAGGATAGGCTGACCTTTGAACATTGCAGAAAGAATTTAACATTCAAATACACAGCACCAAACCACAAAGAACTCAGAGCTTCACCTCGCACGCTCGTGTTAGACACCGTACTGATCTGCCCAACTCCTTAAGCAGGCGGACTCGCAAGTGCCAATTACGCATATAATGTACAGTTTGCAAAATATCTTGGGTCCAGCGAGTGGGTTGGTTCCTAGTTGCTACCACAAAGTGCCCGCGCTCGGACAGCGGAGTTGAGCGTGGGGCACCTGGAGGTGCAGCCGTGCATCGCTGCGCTCGGAATGAATGGAAACCGCGACCTGCTCCGTCCCGGCAGCGGGGCCGGGGCAGCTCCCGGGCACGGCAGCCCCGCGGCAGCTCCTGCGGGCCGGGCCGGGGGCGTCCGCACCGCTCCTGCCCCCTGCGCCGAGCTTTGCAACACGCGCGGGTCTAAACATCTCCGTGTTTCAATACTTCTGGAGCCTGAGCGAAAGATCTCAGCCTCGCCTAATCGGCAGTTCAGGGAGGAGACATCCTGTAGGAAATGCCCAGCGATTCTTCAACCCGCGTTGCCTACGGGAGATGTGATAGCATCTCTAAGGGACTACGGTGTTGCTAACATTTCACACGCAGCCTAAGGGCAGTACAGCCTTCCGCGGCCGTGCCCCCGGCTGTCCGGCACGGCCGCGACTCTCGCCCTCTCACATCTCCCTCGGCAGCTCGGAGGGCACCGGCAGGACGAGAGTCCCCGCGGCGGGATCTGCCGGCCGGGGCCTCTCCCTCGCTGTCCTTCCCCCGACATCGCCACCTGCCTCCACCTCAGGCCCTTTCCCGAAGTAACGTCTGCCCTCTAAGCTAACTCAATGTGATGGATAACCAGAGGGACGGGAGCCAGGGCAGGCAGCAGGCTAAGTGCGCCTTTTTATTAACTTCTTGTAAAGTAATAGCTCCATTTTAGCTGTCACTCCTGTCAAACAACAGCCGCACAATAGCGTGTGATGGGCTCTTCCCGGCGCCGGAGCTGCAGGCAGCACACTGCAGCCAGGCAGGCACTGGGCACACCGCACTGCCGGAGCCGCGCGGGCTCCCTGCCGCCGGCGAGGGGGCGAAGGGGAGCCACGGAAGACCAAGGGAAGCACCGTGTCCCTTTTACCCCATCGGGACCCACTCAGATCCCAAACAAAGGCGGGCAGCCGGGATTCAGGCTTATCCAAGCCACAGTGCCCTGGAGAGGGGCCGCACGGCTCGGCCCCTCCGCCGCGGGAGACGCTCTGCGGGCAGCCAGCACCGCTCACGGGAAAACCCCGGCACACGGGGGGCAGGATGGGCCCGGGGCGTGAGGCGCGGCGCGGGGTGAGGTGCGGGACCGAGGCGGAGCGCTGCAACGGGGCCAGCCCCGGCTCCCCGTGGGGACGGGGTAAGAACGAGCGCTGCTCCGGCGCTGTCGCCCCCGCCTCGGTGCCCGGCCGAGCGGGAGGAGCACAGCGGCCCCGCCGGCTGCGGCTGTGGCTGCTTGCGGGGCTCCGTCGGGGGCGGGCACATGCGTACAAGCAGCTCATCCAGGCAAACACCCCTCACATCTTAAATGAGCTTCATTTAGCAGCAGCCGCTTCAGTCGGGCTGGGAGCTGCCGGGCTGCGCTCCGAGCGCCGTGCGGGGAGCCCCCCGGGGCAGGCCAGCCTCGACGGAGCCCGCCGCGCCCCGCTCTCGATGGGACTGAGCGCGGCGGCGGCTCCGCGCTCGGGCGGCGGAGGCTGAGCGCGCCCCGCGGGGGCGCCGGGCATGGCCGCGGGCGGGCGGGAGCCGAGCCGTAGCCGCGGGCACAGCGCCCTCGCGGGGGGCACCGCCGCGGCCATGGAGCGCCGCTGATCGCCGCCGCCGCCGCCGGGAGACAATGGCCCTGCACAAACTCTGCTCGGTGCTGGAAGGTAGGAGCCGCGGGCGGCACGGCGCCCCGCCGGAGCGGGGACCGCGGTACCCCCGGCGGCGCTGCCCCCGGCGCCCTCCCTGCGCCGGCGGAAACTTCGGAGCGGCGGGCGCGGGGGCTGCGCAGGGGCTGCCGCTCTTCCCGGGCAGCTGCCGGCTCTCCGCACCGCCCCATCGCACCGCCCCGCGGCCCCGCTTCCCTGCCCGGAGGCCGCCGCTCTCTGGCCCCGCTCTGCCCCACGCGAGACCCAGCGCTGCGGCGCCGGCTCGGGGCTGCGGGGCGGGCGCTGCCGGAGCCCAGCGCGGGGCCCGCACCCATCCCGGGCTGCCCCCGGTCCCGCTGGCGCGGGCGGGCGGCGGAGACACCTCGGCATCTCGGGTTTGGGGGGTCCGAACGGCTGGGATATCTCGGCACCTCGGGCTGGGGGGTTCCATCGGCTGGGACACCTCGGCACCTCGGGTTTGGGAGATCCCACCGTCAGGGACACCTCGGGATCGGGGGAAGGTCCCATCCTGCAGAAACGTGGGTCACAGTGGCAGCGACTCTACCCCAGTGACCCGTATATTCCCAAGACACACCGGCAATATCCTACGCTCATCTTTTCACAGTAAAAATACTCTTTGCTTTCGGGACTCTCCTGACGAGCTGCTCAACACTGTTCAGCTTATCACACTTGTTATCGGGAGCAAGGTCTGTTTTCAGTAAGGCTTTCATAAAATCAGTCACCCGGGCTACAAGCTACACCCTGACCGGTGTTAACCTGTGCTTTTCCTCCTGAGGCTTTTAAATCTTCTTTCTAACTTATTTCTGTTCAGAGGTAAACAACCGAGCAAGGCTCCTCATCCGAGCATTTCTTTGTCTGTGCTATTATTTATACAGCTCGGCAATGGGCGAGGGGTTTCTGTTAGAAAAGAAATCTTGATGTGGCACTTAACCTTGTGCCTCAAGAGATTATTTCTAGCATTCTGTACCTCCTTGAGCAAGAGCAGACTTGATGGGGATTCCAGTCTGAGTTTGCTTTTTTTTAAAATCATGATTATTATTTTAAATTATTCTGTTAGGTGATGTTGGTGTGACTGCATGCATTATTGAAGCCAACAAGGCATTACTGCAGAGTGGAGAACTGTTTTGTGTATACATTGATGTCTTCCCACAGTATGAAAGTTGTAAAGAAGTCCGTTTTAAATCCAGAATGTTTCCATGGGCCATAAAATCCCATGTTCCTGGCATGAAGGACTTTATGTCTTTAGGGTTTCAAAACTATTTTTCATTTATTAACATCATAACTGAGAGACAGAAGATGCTTGCTCTCAATAAATGTCTGTCTCTATATATTGTTAACCATCCACTGAGTTTACACAACATAGGAACATATGGTTTACATGGGGAAGACAAGGCATTTAGATTCTTTTTTCTACTGCCTCTTTTAAGTAACATGTTTAAATATCACAAGACACAATAAAACAACCATAAAATACAAGTGTTGTACCTACTACTTAAATACTTCATACGTATGCAGATTTTAATTACATTTCAGAAATATGTGATTGCTGCAGAATTGACTGTACAGTGAATAGACATGTATATTTTTTTATAATCACACTAGTGTCCGGGTAAAAAGTCCCTCTACAGGAAGTTTTTTGTATTATTCATAATCCATAAATTGCACAAAGCCATTAGTCAATAAGCTGTTAGTATTCTAAACGCATCCCTTGCCATGACTACAGAAACAACCTATCATTACTTAGCATCATACACTCTCTTTACCTCTGCTTCACTAGAAGTCATTACATAGTCCCATTATTACACCGAATCAGAAACAAAAAAGTATATTCTTGTAGATAGATGTATAGTTTAGAAACTGCTGGGAATAAAATTCAAAAGTAACCGTCTGTATTTTACAAATTGCATCTTAAATTCTGCATGGAAGCCCTACCTACAGTGGCAGTAATTTTTTTTTCTCCATACAAATAGCTTCATGTGCAGAACTGGGGGAGTTCTGCTAAACCACATACAAAGTACCATAAAGCTCAGTGTATCATGAGAAGTCGTATTTTATTTAATACTTCTTAGAAACAGTTCAGTTTTCTGTTCTTAACATGGAATGCATGTATACATTTCTGTCATCCACAGAGATTCTATTTTGTAGCTGTATTACCTCAGGGCAGAAAAGAGCCCATCATACTATGTGGCAGTTGGAATTTCTTATATTAAGCTTGTTCAGAACTATTCTTCTGTTCTTCCTCAGCTATCAATATCAAGGGCTATTTAAATAATGTAATTCTTTGTTTCTGTCCATAGTGTTCAGCCAAACTTCTAAAAGTCTCATCCTGAGTCCCATTACATGGATTCTTTGCTCTCCTCCAGCTCTCCCAGGCAGCAGTGCTGAGTGGCAGCGCTGGTGGAGCACGACAGCCCTGAGATTTCAGTGGCTGCAGCTTTAGCTCAAGTGGAGCCCAGCCAATGCCCACCTGCTTTCTCAGTGGGCTCTGTAACCTCTTGGAGGCCAAGAGCTTGCTGCATTTGGGCTGTTGGAAGACAAAGCCTTTGCTGCCTTCAGTTCTCAATGACGTTAAACACGCTAGAATCGTTCCCTGAGCCTGGCACAGCTTGCAAAATGCAACTGCTCTAAGCAATAAAGCACCATAACACTACACTTCATGAGACAGAAAAGCAGCTGCTTTCATCATAAAGCCATGCCCCTGTTAGGCTTAGGAAGTAAATATATCTATCTTGAATTTCCTCATACCTGGTATTCCCCCAAAATGTGTTTGCTAAGAGCTTGTTCCCATGCTTCAAATATGCTCCATCATTTCAATATGCTGTTATTTGCTTTAAAAAACTGCACAAGCTGTCAGTTAAATCCTTCCTCTACGTTACTTTCAGTCTATTTCAGTTAATATATTGGATTAATTGAAAAAGCCAAAGAGAGAATTCTGTAGCTTCTGACCCATTAATTCAACAAGCAGCCAGGGCTAGAACAAATGACTTCTACATTCCCAACCGTCCAGTGGACTCCAGAATTATTTCCAACTCCATCAGGTTGCAAGAATGTGGACTGCTATGATTTAACTTCCTGCCATTCTGCTCAGGCTCCTCATTTGCATTTTGGCATGATTTTAACAGTTAATTTCTCACAAACAAGTAGTGTTAGGAAGTAATGCTTCCTTCCACACAAAAGCTAGAAATCATGGCTGCCAGTTTCCAAAACTAAAAGGTGTAATAATACTACAAGAAGCTCAAAACAAGCAGAAAAAAAAGGTAATTCAGAAATCTCCTAATAGTTTAATGATTTGTTCACTGAAGCCAAAAGCAAAGTACTGACAGTAGAAGCTGCAGTGACCCTAATGAAAGCAGTATTGAGTGAAGTCAGAATACTGTTTTTTACTTAATAAACAGTACCTACTTTCTACCTTTTCTGCTGCACTGAAAGAAAAGTGAAGCCTCAAACTGCTTGCAGTGCTAAGCAGTTCAGCAGAAGTAACTCAAGTAACTGCAGAACAGGATTCAAAAAGCTGCAGTGCTAAAAACAAGGCGAGTATTTGTTGGTGTGTATTACACCTTGCTCATAATACACATACAAGCTGCATATTCAAAATGCACCACCCTGCAGCATAACTTCAAATACATTAACTCCCTCTTTTTCCTAAGACATGGTTGACTGTGACTGCTAAAATTTTTACAGGACAAGTTGGTTACAATTACATTGATATTAATAGCAAATTTCAGTGTGTAAATCGGGTATATGGCTGTAGCCAGAGTATAGAATAACACTGGATTGAAGCTAAAGGAGCTACTAAATTATGTATCCCTATCTAATGAAAAAGATAAGATTTTCAGCATCTTCCTTAAGGTTTAATTCACAGGGAGAGATTAGACAGAAAAATTACCCCTGAAGTAAAACTTTGTAAGCTATTCATCATTTATGAACCTGTCAAAAAGTCACAATTCACTGCAGAAATGAAGAGAGCTGCTAATTGCACATACTCTAGTACGTGTAGTTTATATACAAAACAAACCCAGCACTTGGAGTATAACCTGTCTGGACTGAAGCAAAATTTTAGTGTCTTGGATTCAAGTTGGGTTACTAACACTGCAAACAAGTTTGCTGCTTGTCTGCCTTGTACATTCCAATTTGTTTTTTTAATTAATGAAGCACTTACAGTCTAGGACAACTTAAACAGCTTGCTGCCTCTGTCAACATATGACTGGCAACTGCCACCTCAAATACTGCGAGATATGAGGTTGAGGAAGTGTAAATTTTACAAGAAAGATCAGCAGGTAACTTTTAATGAAAAAAAATCCACATTTCTTTTAGATATCTTTGTGTTTCACTCAGTTTTCTGTTACTCCAAAGCTAACCCCACTGTGTAGTAGGAAAGGATGGCCAATATGTTAAGAAAGCATTTCACAAAACCTCCTTCTTCATCCTGTGGTAAAATTGATGAACACAAAGTTAAGTCCCTTTTTAAGAGACTGAGAGTGAGAAGCTGGAAGAGAAAAGAACTGTAGTCTGTACATAAATTGTTGCCAGACATGACAGAAGATAGCAGAAAAGAACTTTAAACATTAATTTGATAATAGACATTCCAGAAAAGATTTCCACTGAAAAATATAGTATATTGCTAGTAAATTAGAGAAGATAAACAAGTGTAGTATAATCTGATCAATTTTTAAATCTAGGAATAAGTTATTTCTGGGAAAGATGTATTCAGAATAGTCATGTGCAGCAGGATTAGCTCTGTCAGCTAGAGGGAAATCATCTGAACTTGGAAGTCAGTGTACATATTTTAATAAGTTTTTTGAAACCCCTCATCAACATGGTTTGCACATGCAGTCTTCTCATCAGTCTCTTGCTGCACACAGCTTGGAGATGAAAAAAAGAAAGGTCTTCCATATAAAAAGGAAAGTTTCTATTTTAAAAATGAAAGCTATCATTCTTCTGGCAGAAGTTTTGCTGGCAGACAGACCAAAGGATGGATTATAAGTAACAGGATGTGG